CGACGTGGGGCGAAATGTCCTCGAGGGGCTAAACGTACAGCAACAGCAATTCTCTTTCTCTGCGGCTGCGACTCCGCATCTATCGCCGACGAAGATCCTTGATCAGACATGCTAAGGGCTCCAACACCGAGTGCAACAGACGCTGAGCCTAATCTTCCTTGCGAGTGATGTCCGTGGTGGGGGTGGGCAGAGTGGTGCTCCGAAGAAGAGTAGCTCCTACGTGCTTCGGTAGAATATGGACCGCCGTGGCAAAAGTAAGGTGGGCCGGCGCGACTACTATATCGTCTTTGATCGTGTGTGTGGTGGCCGTGATGGGGAGGGGTATAGCAGGTCTGGGACACCATTTCCTTATGTTGTTTCGTCCGATGTCTTTCCAGCCACACCTAGCTAAACCTCAAAACCGTAACCTGTCTCTCTGTTTTGCCTGATCGGACTTTGCTTGCAACCCTTTTGCCTTTTGGCCTGAACTGATAGGATTTGCCCGTGTCAGATTTCTGATGGCGATCAAAAGCCTTGAAACTCCGCCTGGCGTCGTTGTTAGACACCGATCAGGGACTGATCCTTGCAAGAGGCAGTGGTGTGCAGGTCCCGAGAGACTTGCTCGGCGGTGGTAGCTCGTAGGGGCTAGGTGCTGCAGGGTGACCTCTTCGAACTGCTGCAGCTGGTAACAGGGATGTGAGTTATTGCTAGAGAGGTGACAATGCTGTGGAAAGTTACGAAGAAACTGTTCGTCTGGTTCGGACTCCTAGGAAGCGTGAAGGTGGGGTGGATGTGTTCTGAGTGGGTGGTGATCGGACACAGCAGCGCCAAATGCAGACGGGGCAGACTCTGGACTGGATCCTTTCTGTCTGATTGCCCTTGATCCGGACTTGACTCGATTGTTCACGGTAGATTAAGCCCGATAAGGAGAGCTGGTGTGAGAACAGACTCAGAATCCCTCGGTGGCCTGGCTGAGAACGTGCTGTCTATGGTTGTCTAGGTATCCTAATGCGTAAGGTATGCGTGTCTTGTGTTGCGCTCCAGCTACTAGATAGGAGACCTGGGACCTGATTGACGTACGTTTTGTGAGCGAGTGTTCATGCTAGAGCTGCCAGTCAAGCTTTGTCCCACACACCATCCCCCCGTTCATTTCACTCTCACTCCGGATTTCCCTCGTCTCCCTTCGAGTGACCCCTCTCCGGGGATTTCGCTCACTTGATTTTGTACACAACGGCACACACCGAGGACATCTTGTAACCCCCAACCCGGAACTCAGGCACGAAAAGCCTATTCTAGATGCACAACCCCGGGATAACCAAGAAGAGCAACTCCAAAGGACTGGGGGAAGAGAGAAAGGACAAAGACCAACCTGACAGGTCGCTTATTCGCGTACTTGACCTCGGTGTGAAGAGGTTGTGAACTCGGACGTTTAAGTCGTGCGTGCGTCGTGTATGTCTGTACGGCTGTAGTAATGTCTTGAATCTATAAAACTCGGGTGACCGCGGCCGTGTCTCTGTTTCTCGGACAAGTCTGTCTGACTGGGGAATCCTCGAATGAAGGGCTTGGACGTATGGTGATGCGAGAAAGCGAGAGGATGCCGTGCCGCAGGCGGAAAGTGATTAAAGACTGATCGATTATGTCGAGGATTGCTCGGTCAATAGGAAAGGGCAAGTGACCTGGAAGCCAAGTTGATATGAAATCCAACCAAACTGAGAAAGGCAGTGACCTAGAAGTCTGAAAATCAAAGAGAAAGAAACGAGAGACAAGACAGATACAGAAAACAAAGAAGAATTGTTGCAGGAGATGCCAAAGTGTTATAAGTCTTCACCTAGTTGTCTTCATGCTCTGATGACAGGATCAACAAGCCCCCCCTGGTCGGACTGTCCATACCTGAGCACGAACCAACCATAGGCATATACTCTGTTTGTAGTCACTTCATCGTGCAGTCTGGCCACTTAGCCAGGGCACTTGAGCCCCTCGCGGCCATAAAAGAAGCAGGAGAGGCCATCTCTGTACAGTATGATCTCCTCAGACACCACTTGGTTAATTACAATCTCTGAAAAACCGTATCGTCTCATGCATACACTCATATGATACCAAACCATACCCCAGCCTGCTTCCTTGGCATGGGCTGCCCTATGTCAGGCGTATAGGGCGCAGTAGCCAGACTAGGGAGCATATAGAGAGGTATAAGGCAACGCTTGTGTCTTCGTTGGCTTCTCCAGTACGGCCAGTCCCAGCCTCATCCTGGCACGAGCACTCAAGCTAGGGTACTTCTGGATGAAGCGAGCCATCGGAAGCCCACCTCAGTGCCATGCTGAAGGGCAAGGGGAAAAGGAAATGTAACTGTTGTCCATGTCTGCATGAATCCGGGACCCCAGCTGTGGTACAACAAAGTGCAAGTGCACAAAAATAGGGAGTGGCTAATTGGACGGTTCGCCAGCTCCTTGGTTTGGAGCAAGCAGAAGGTTGCGCATACAAGGTTAGGAAGCATCATATCGCGTGAAAGCGTATTTGTTTCGAAATTTGGCTCCGCTGTCAAAAAAGGGCGACGGCTGTTGTGGTAGTTGAGGGTTTCCTTCCCGCCGTCGCTTGTGATACTTGCATCAACTCTTGATGGAGAAATACCTCAGAGCAGGAAGACCAAGAAAGGTCTGCAAAGTCCAGATGCCTTTAGGTCTTCTCACGGTTCGGATGCTGGCAGGTAGATCTCTCTCCTTGTGAAAGAAGGCCAGGGGAGAAGGGGTGGGGGTTCTGGTCTGGGGTCTGGGAGAAGGGGGCGAAGAAATGCGCCATAGGTATGAGAGTGGAATCTGATAGGACGATGAGAAAGAATGATGCCAAAACAGTGCGTTAACCTCGACCTCGCCTGATGGCCGACTCTCCTCCACATTGAAGACTTTCGAGAGAGCATGTGTGGAAGTTGTGCTGAGAAAACGAATCTTTTTCCTGCTTGTGTCCAATAAGATTTGACTAGACAACGGTTTGGCACTATCATCCCGTTTTCGAAAGCGAAATGTATGGAAAAAGAAAACGTAGCATGTATCTAAATCGATGGCGTTTACACAGCATCATCGTCATTCCCTCGACCTTGATAGAGCTACATAAGGTACACCCAGTGCCCAGTGCCAGCTGCCATCCAACTCTGTCAATACAAACCAAGGCACAGTGGAAACAACACGAAGGGAGTGCCTAATCAGGTATAGCATACGTGCGAGAGCTTCAGGTGTGTTTGCCCTTTGGCAGTAGCCCTATATGCGAATGGCACAAAAGCCTTTGCAGACAAGTACCCCCAAGGCTGAAGGAAAGATGGATCGTATGCATGGCAGAAAAGGAGCTCAAGGTAACATGTCAAAGATGAAGGAGAAGCGGAAAAAATATCCATATGTTCGCTCAAAGAGGGAATTCCACGTCCGTGTTCATGTCCATAGGCAACCCAAGTCACCAACCTCAGATTGACATGGGTGACAGATGGACTGGATTATTGACCTCGTCGTAGCACATGTTTGCTGAACAACCAGAAAGAGAATAGCGAGCCAGGCGAACAGAGGGGCTACTAGCCTCATATCCCCAGCCCATTGACTGCCTCAGCAACCCCTGTCCCACTCGGAAACATGGACAAACGACGTGTGTGAGACATGAGGGACATGATAAATACATACATGAAAGCCCAGTGTTACGCGAGTACATATGTACATGACTAGCATGTAACTGATGAGGGCTGCGACTGGAAAGAATCTCTGGGTAGAGGATCCCATCCATGATTGTGAGCTGTGTGGATGTGAGCAGACAGGGCAGTCCACCTTGGGGAAGGGGGAATCTGATGAGATAGCGAGAGTAAAGCACTTTGGCCAGATGTCAGCCAGCCCTGAGCGACGGGGGTGCTGCGAGGGGAAGGAAATGGAAGGAAATACTGTGGGGAGGATGAACTGGGAGAACAACTGTACTGAACGAAACAGAACTAGATAGAGAACTCAAGGTGACGCAGACCCCCTATCCGAATGAATGATTGCAATGCATTACAATGATTCGTGAGTGCGAGGTGTTGGTTGAATGGGTGCAGTGGTGCGTGACCTGAATATTGACCCCTCCCATTTGCAGATTTCGTGTAACACTGACACTGTGAAAAAGAGGGAAGGAAATCTTGGGTAGGTTGTACTTCGTTAGTTCCCTGCTCGTTTTGCTCCGGTCCTTCGTTCGCAGAAATCCTCCCACTTTGCTCTTTTCGCTGCTTTCCGTTCGTTGTTCTTGCTGGAAATTGAAGTGTTGTCCATTGTCGATTGTCGTCTGTTGATGTTGCACCGGCCGTTCGGCATCTGGCCCCGCTCATGCAAGGCTGATGAGAGCAGACGCTTCAAACGGATATAAATGACGATTTCCGCCAGAAAAAAAGTGATAAGTGACAGAATTTGGTGGGCAAAAGCGCAATGCCAAACAACGGCCGGGAGTTTAGGTGACAGGACAGAAGATGCCCCAGGTCAGTGCAATGTTGTTTGGCAGGCACAAGAGGCATTCAATCAATTACGTGCAGTCAGAGTTCAGCTGTTTCCCCCTCCTCATTTAGTAAAGCCAAGGTGTTGCGACATGCCCAAGGTGGAATAGTTGCTCATGCCAAATAAGCTGAACCTGAACTTATGCCCCTCTTGTCAAAAGGAAAGTACTTCCTCGTTCTTCCCCCGGCCCTCTCTCCTACCTCTAATTACCCCCACTGTGCTTCCAGTTGTACTGCGACTGAGCGAGTGACTGCAGTGCCTGTTGTTTGCTTTTTCATGCTGTCTGTCGTGCGTCACTAGCGTGGTATCGCCAGGTCAGGCCGGTCTCCCTCTTGCTGACCTAATGCTAATGAGCAAAGTAGAACAACTTGAAGTGTTCAATCTTCATCGGTCCGGTCCCTCTCATGTTCTGCTTGTCGTCATCTTGCTGAAAAAGAATCCAATTGGTCGCGACCAAATGAAATGATACCAGATTGAGGTAGAATCGTCCAAGGTTGAGGAAGAGGCCAGAAATTGAAGACGGACGCCATACTACCATGTACAGGGGCAAGTATCTATGGTGGTCAGTTTGCATCATGGAAAAACCAACACCCCTTGACATCATCTCCTTCCATGATGTTGACAGCAAACACAACGGCATGGCGAGATTGAACAGAACTGAAGCAGCGAACGGGCGCCGCCCCAGTGCCCCCTCCCCAGCCAGCCAGCCCTTCCAAGGGTGATTCGGGGACAAACCAACAACCCAAGCCAAGGAAGGTCCCAAGGAAGGCACCCCTGATTCTATCACTTTTTTGCTGAGAGTGATCTGATCGCCTTGAACCTGCACCGGCACTCACGAAATGTGAGCGATCTCTTGCTGCCCACGCCATGAGGTTCAGTTGCCTTTTCCGATTTGTTGCCAACAGACGACTCCTTCCCAAGGCATGGCATGCCCACGAATAGTAGCGCCAACGGTCAATTCCTCATGCCATCATGTTCTGCATTTCGAACGAAGAATTCCAGTACTGCCTCTACCTACTTTTGGACACAGAAAGTCCCGCCATAATAGTAGTGCTGTGTGTAGGCAGTGTAGTGGTGCGATACTTACTGTAGAGGTATTGTTTTCGTCCGAAATTCTCACATTTGACACTGAAATGATCGGCCGGCCCCTGCCTTCCCCTTCCTGCCCACTCGGTCCGGTCCGAGAGCCTTCATGTGCACGGGCGCGGTACGAGACTGGACGTCGTCGATACATGTCCCGTTCAAAGAGGTCTTTCGGAAGGAGTTACTGTCGTTAGATCAGATCGATTGGAGGAAGGAAGCCCGAAACGGAGTTGGGGAGTCGTCCGTCGTTTCCTCTTGCATGTCACGCGACTGCACCTGCAACTGCAACTTGAACTCCTAATCTGCTTCAGTTGCCAGCTGTCATCGTCAAACACGAGAGAGTCTCCAACCCTCCAGTCCGACATCCATCCAATACATCGCCCGACTGTCGACCGTTGATGATGATCGATGGCTCGGCAACGCCCTACAGTCAAGTTCCGAGCATACAACACATCGTTATCAGCAGCCAAGATTACCGACGAGGGCAGTTCGTATCGACTTGACGCTTCCAAGCCTCGAAAGCCTATGACAGGCCCCAATGTTGCGCCCCCAAGCAAGCCAGAAGCGAGCCTAGAAGCATTGAAATATGTATGTTTGTCGGAAGGAGCCTCGGCCAATGACGTATAACCCAAACCTCGAACCGCATATCGTGGCAGATCCCCTAAATCTGAAGTTGGGTGCTAGTCCTCCAATCCTTCCGCCAGTCGCTGTTTCGCCTCACGTCCAAGCAGGTTGGTGTGGCATCAACGGCAAAATCGGCAGCGACTATTCGGACGGACCCTTCCATCAATCTTCGGAGACGAAACGCCAGCACGAGGTGCGGATAGATAGATGACACACATGCCAATAAGACAAGATTGGCGAATGGCCGCACTCGAATTTGAGGGTGTCGTTGGGGGGGGGGGGGGGGGTTGCCGTTGCGGAAAAATTTGGACGGCCTAGGCTCGAAGAAAAGGCGTTCGGATAATTGCAGTACCCCATGGTACAGTATCCGCCGTCCGCGCTGTCAACGAAGCTCTTGATGTGCCCTTGCTGTTCTGCCCCCCGACATGCACATACCCGTCCCCCTCGTTGCCCAGTGGTTGCACGTACTGCCCGCTAAAACTGCAAGACATGAGAGATGGTGTCGTAGTTGACGAATGAGCTTGAAGCTGACAGCTAGTTCCGATTTTACAGGTCCGTCAAGGAAACACTTGTGTGCCCTGTTACTCTCACCCTCTCGACATCTTCGTCGTCCCTGTCCACGTCGCAACCGAAATCAAACCTCCTCGGAACTCGCCCAGAGCTGGGATAGAACCCTTCAACCTCGTGGCTTGCAGATATTGAAGTGGCCCTGACATGATCAAAACCCGCAACACGAGATTTTGCGCCGCACACTAGCCTCTCACGTCTCCGCAAGCCACGAGAGTATGAAACCAGCGTCATCAGAAACACATCCATCGCAACCTGATTCGAGGGGAGCCCAGAAGGAGCATGGGGTTCGGATCGGATAAAAAAGAGTCTGTGATTTTTCTGTCCGAAGTGGCTGCAGTCGAGGGTTCCGATCGACCGTCTTCGCTTGTCCAGCAAATACCCTGGGGCGACACAATCTCGATGGCCCATCCAAATGGTGTCAAACCACTGTGTTATCTCCCTGAATCCAGATTGTCATATCCCATCCATGGCCACAACTGCTCCCTCGATCATTTTCTGCGCTCTCGATGGATTGATGGCGCGCTTCTACCCGTCGCCTGCAAATCACCATCACCAACGAGATTGACCCAGACCTGGCAAACCTAAAAGACAAACAAGGCCTGCAAGGATACTCCCGATGCCTTGAAGAAGCAGTGCTAGTATTGTTGGCACCCTTGTTGACACACTCTGTCGCTATCAATGATGAAAACTCCGACATCAACTGGCAACCTTGAGCTATACCTGTTCAGCAATGCTGCAAATCAACCGCTACACTCGCACCACAATGCACTGTTTCAATCCACAAGCATAGCCAAACAGCGAAACCCCAAATGGTAGACGATCTGCCGGACTCGATCCGACGATCTAACTGATATCGGGGACACGGCGGGTATGCCTGACACAAGCGAAAAGATGAGGAAGGGGTACGTTGCAGTAAACGGCTGGATGTGGGTGGCCGCGTATTGTGTGTGTGAATGTGTGCGCGTACGACTTCGCCTGCTGTCCGTTGGTCGTTGAAACGGACGGACCAGAGGGCGTGGCGGCCGCCTGGCCGTGGGCTGGGCTTTGTTCAAGTCTTCAGGTTGCCGCGAAACGAGGAGCGAAGAAGGAGATGTGGAGGCAAGGCGATGTGCAATATCGTTTGATTCGCGGACAGCCGTTGACGTTGACGCCAACGCGTAACCATCGGCTGATGTTGTGCATCTGCTACCCTCTGAGGGAAGTTGTGAAAGTCCAGCTTCTTTCAGGTGGTGCATCGCAACGACCAGACCCTCGAGCCAGTGGCACCTTGTACTACCCATTACCTCCTCTCTTCGCCCATTATCCGCAATCAAATGTGACGAACTGAGCAGATACCGTTGGCGGAGTAAAGATGCCGTAGCCCCGTAGTGTAGTGTAGTGTAGTATCGTTCATATTATCACAAGCTAGGAGGTACAAGAGCATCGATAAAGCTTCTGTGTGGCCGCAAAGCAAGTAAAACCCACTCACTACGCACGAGAGAGAAGTTCAGAGCTGACAATCTGATACGCCTCCCCTCCCGGGGCTTTTACATGCCTCCCTTGATTGGCACCTGGCGCGCCAAAGTCAAACCTAGTAGTTGACGTGAAACAGGTCGGTGGAATGTAATCGTCAAACCAAGCCGGGCAAGTCCTGCCGAGCTCTCTTCAGTCTCTGTACAACGTTGGCTGACTTTGATGATGATGAGGCAAGGTGCGCTTTGACATGCAATTGGCCCATCCATCAGCAGACACCTGCCATACACTAGAGGTAAGTCCAAGCAAACCTTCGGAAGACGGCGGTTGTCGAGACTTGCTTTCCCCCTTTGCTCTGTAAGGTCGGGCAGTGCAACATGTCTACATTGACGAAGACATGAAGCAACGTAGAGGCGAAATAGCTTACGTAAGGTCTCGTCTGCATGAAGAGAACTGAAAGGTCGGCTAGAGGTGCGCGTGTCTTCGTTTCGTTCGTGTCAAACCAATTAAGCTAGGTTAGGTCCGAGACAATTGGATGCTCGTAAGCGATGGAGTAAGTAGTCGTGGTGGTGGTAGCCCAACATTATTGCATACGAGTGTCAGCCCTATTCAGCCAGACTGTAACAAGCCAAGGCAGATCTCGGTTCCGAAATGTGCATTTTTTCGGGGAGAGAGATTGGCGGCGGATCTGGGGCGACAAAGATAGAATATGCCCCCCTAATGCAAGTTTGCTGTGTGTGCGTGCGTGCCTACCTCCTCCTGTAGTCATCGCGACCTCTATTGTCTCTGTCTCTGCCTCTGCGGTGGTCCCTGTCATTGTAGTCTCGGTCGCGGTATCGGTCACGACTACGGTCGCCGCGTCTGTCTCTGCGGTCCGAGTCTCGATCATCTCGGCGGCGGTCAGCATCTCTTGGCCCGCGTCTGTTGTCACGGTCGTCCCGCCGGTCACGGTCCCTTTGAGGACTCCTACTGCGCCTAGACATGGACCTGTCACGGCCACCACTAACATCAGGTCGAGAATCCCTAGCAGGAGGCTTATCACCATCAAGCCTCCTCCCCTTCAAGTCCTCCACTCCGTGCACCATCTGATAGCTATCGTCATTCCGCCACTCAACATCCTCATCTCTATACTTCCTCCACTTCTCCAACTCGTCAACACCACCCCATCCTCCACCCCCTCCTCTCCTCGCCGCACTCTTCCTCTTTGAGTTCGTCTCTGACCGCCACACATCACTCAGCTTGCTGACGCTCTGACTGAAATCCACGTGGATTCTCCGGTCATCAATCAACACCGAGTCCATCTTGGAGTAAGCCTCCTCGCAGCTCTTTTTGTCTTCGAACTCGATAAACGCATACTGCAAACTGTCTCCCGTCTTTTGATCCCTGATTACTTCACAGCTCAGAATCTTGCCAAACCGGCTGAAGATCAGCTCGAGGTCTTCGTCCGTCGTCACCGGGTTCAACTTGCACACGAACAGGACGTTCTCGGGCGGCTTGACTTCGGCAAAGGGTAGGTCGCCCATCATTTCCAGCGTGAGTGCTTGTGCAGCCGCTTCGCGCTCTCGACGCCTTCGTTCTGCTTCGGCGGCGGCTTCTTCGCTGGCTTCGACATCTAGTAGCTCTTCGCCTTCGGCGATGCGGACCGTGGCTAGTTGGGCCTTGCTAGGCGGTGGTGAAGCGCTTGGCTCGCGCATGCCGGCCGGGTCCGGGTAGGGGTCGTCGAGAATGACGGTGTGTTTGATGCGGATGTCGACCAGGGGGTGGCCGCGCTCGTCGACGATGGCGTCATTGATTTTTTCCAATACATCAAAGCCTTCGACGACCTTGCCGAAGATGGCGGCCTTCCCGTCTAGGTAGTCTGTGTTGTCGCCGAGGGTGACGATGAATTGGGAGCCGGCGAGGCGGGTATCGGGGTCGGAAGGGTGCGGGACGGTGGCCATGCTGACGGTGCCACGCTCGAGGTGTTTGAGTTTGGGGTGGAAGAGGGCTGGGAAGGTCTTTTCGGAGGGGTCGCCGGAGAGGAGGCCCCAGATGGACTGTCCGCCATTGGATTCGGAGGACAAGGGACCGAGGGGGTCGCCGGTCTGGAAGGAGAAGGACTTTTGGATGGAGTGGATGGGCGAGAAGTTGTAGTATTTGACCTTGCAGAGTTTGAGGAAGCTGTTGGTGGCACGGTTAGTATGTGGCTTGTTAGTTGGGATAGACTAGAGAGTACTAACTTTTCACACATTTTGGGCGCGTAATCGACCAAAAGGTCAATCACAATGTCGCCGGCGCTGGTCTCAAGGAGAACCGACATGGTGGGCAATCGTGGGTGTCGCGTCCAAGTTTAGCCTGTGCGCATGCGAGGGTACGAATAGAGTAGACGCAGCCTCCTTGGCTGGGCTGTGTAGCTTTCAAAGTAGGTCGTTGACGGTAGGTCGGGAAATGGGATGTAGTTGTCGTTGTCTTCCGTCTGTTCTGTTCGCGCCCGTCAATGTCAATGTCGATGTCAATCGCAGTGACGTTTGAAACTTTGGATGGCAGGCAGTTCGTTGCATGCTTTGAGAAGCTGCCTGCCGCAAGACCTCAATCGACGAGACTGGCCCAAGCTCCTTCGTGGCACGGAACCACGTGATCTCCTTCTTCTCAAACACGTGCCAAGTTATTCAACAGCTTGCATTTTCAGGTTAGGGTTCACTAACCGAAGCATGCCATCGAGCATTCCACTTTGGCTGCACCCGTCTCCAGATTTCGTTGCCGTCGTTCCGCGTTCGAGGTCCTGATCACAACACCAAGGAAGTGTTCTAGACTCGCTACTCCGCAAAACCGAATATTACCACCATATCATCGGGTAGTTGGCTTGCTTTCTTTTTCTTGCTTCCCCAGATCTTGGTCGTCTGCGATCGGGAGTGCAACACTCAAACTGCGACATTGGCGATAATCTCGAATGCACGACTCGGATTGATCAAGCAACTTGAAATCCTCGTTGCATGGCCGACGATTAAAACCCCGAACTGCGCGTCGACAATGCGGCAGCAGCATTTACGAAGCATCTTCACATCGAGCATTGGAATCTTGTAGGATCCGAAATATGGTTCAAACTTTTTTTGTCTTCATTCTTTCCGCCCTCCCAGAAATGCCAAATCGATATCGAAAACCTGGCGGCCAAACAACACTAAAAATTACAAATAAACAAATAATAAGTTTTTTGCTCCCCTATGCATAGACAGGTGACCATGCGACTAATCCCTGGTTCGTAATGTCGCTTTTGTCTGTTCCTTTCTGTTCCGTTCGTCCCCTCCCAATTTCCATAACATGCTTTGTTGGTTGAATGAAATCCTCCGTGAACTGATGATGATGATCATGCCTCCCACTCTAGTGACACTCGATTCCTCCCCTGATCCGTGCTTCGATTCTTCTGCCTGCCGCCGCCGCCGCCGAATAGCCCCGAAAATAGAATGTCGTCGCGATGATTGCCAAGGGCGAAATTATCCGACCATTTGCCAAACATGGTTGTCCAATGTTTCTGCCATCTCGCGACACGGCGACACAGCCATGCTGGGATTCCACTTCTCCCGGATTCGGATTCATGCCATGCTTCCCGAACCCTCTGCTCGAACCCGGATCCTCGGCGGCTGGGCGAAGCGAGATGCTCCAACTGGGTGTGGCTCCATAACAAGGGTCCCATAGAAATTGGTAATGTCGATGTCATTGCATGACGGAGACACGATTCAAGATTGCTCCATATTGCTGGCCGGTGTTTCCCGATGAGAGTTGTTGAAAATGGTTTCGAAGTTTCGATCGACAATAACCAGTCCGAAGACCAAATGTGACACGGGAAAAAAAAGTCCAGACAGAAAAACTCCACGGGCAACAACAATAAACAAGAAACCAAACAATCCGTAAACTCCAAGCTAAGATGCAAGCCAAGTCGTAACAAAATGTCCATGCAAGACACAAACAATGTGGTCCGCCAACCTCGGGCGATCCAAAAGAAAATCGGGAAAGGCGGATGGATGCTTCCCAAGTTGTAGGCCTTGTCAATCCATCAAAGACGTCGTCGTGATAGACAATCTTGCAGACGACGCCGTACGTAAACGCAGCTTTCGTCCTATGACGAACCCTCCTGCTGCCAAAAGTGCAGACGACAGCCCACAGCTGTCATCCTGTCTGTGTAACTGAATGAACCTCCTCTGCTCATTTTCCCATACCTAGGTAGCTTCCGCCTTTTACTCACCCCCACAAGCCGATCCCGCACTCCTCCTCCTCCTTCCCCTCCTCAACTCCCTCTCCGCCTCCATCAACCGTCCCTGCACCCAGCTCCGAAACTGCCTGTTCCCTTCTCCCCTCGTCGCCTCGCAGTTCAACAGCTCCGTCAGCGTGCGCTTGATGCCCTCGTTGACATCGCACAGCTTGGCTTCTTCCAGCGCCACTTCCGCTGCGTGGTGCAGCAGCGTCTGGTCATCCAGCACCGACGAGCTGGCAAGCGAGGAAGAACTGCCGCCAAAGGTGGAGGCGGTGGCGGTGGCGGTAGCGGACATACAACCGAATCCGCTGCGTTGACGCTGTCGAGGGAGCGGGGAGGAGCGGCCGCCGTCGTGCGAATGGTGGGGGCCGGAGCGCGTGGGGGAGGTGGAAGGGCTGGAAGGGCGGAGTTCGTCGAGGTGTTGGATCAGGGATTCGTGCTGGGAGTGCAGAGCGAGATAGGTCTGGAGGGCGAGGTCGCGGTTGTGGTTGTGGTTGTGGTAGGTGATGGAGGAGGGGGGTTCAGGCATGGAGTGGAAGGAGAGGGAGGAAGGGTGAGATAGGTAGGTGTTCATTTTGAAGGTTGTTTGGGTTGGATAGATAAAGAAAAAGGAGTTATGGTTGTTGTGGTTGTGGTTGTGGTTGTGATTGTAAGTAGAGAGGATATGCACGTTGTGCTTGTTGTGCTTGTTGCAGGTCTGATGTCTGCAGAGGTACTACTACTGATGCTGCTACTGCTGCTGCTGCGTTGTAGTATGGTGATGGTAATGGTGGTAGTACCGCAAATGGCCGGGTCATCGGACGTGTGTGCTGTTTTCTTCTTGAAAGCGACCGGAGGTGAACGAGGTGCCTCGGTGGTTTTGTCCGTCCCTTTTCCGACAGTGTTGTAGTTCTGACGTATTGGTGAGGCAAGATTCGGGATAGCTTGGAATAGCTTGAGGATAGCTGTTTTGGTGTTGTGTCTGTCGTTGTTTGTTGTCCAACGAGTCGTGCGTGCTTGGTTCGCCCGATTCCGTGCGTTCTCTTTCGCCCCAACCGTTCAAGAAAAGCTGAAGAAATAAGGGGTAGTGATGGATGATCGACGGTATATGATGCGTTACTGATCGGCGGTGGTATGCCGGTGTGGAAGAACGCGCGTGCACGAAAACCTGTGTCGAGTTTATGTCGAGTTGGAGGGTCTAAAAAAACAAGTCCAAGAGTTGCAGCGGCGAACGGGCCTGTTTTATACAACTTCTTCTTCTTCGAAAGCGACTGTCAATTTCGTCGGGCAGCGACTGAGCAACCAGATGCTGGCGACTGCTGCTTGTTGTGCTGTGCTGATGGTGTGGTCGGTGTGTGTGTGTGGTTCGCTTCGACTCGAACCTCCACTTCAATGCGCTTCGGTTCGCCTGGTTGGGTGGTACAGGAGCTTCGCGGTTTATAATGGAAATTCCGTCAAGCTGTCGCCACCCTTCTTTTTCTGGAACCCACAATCTTTTTTGGGAAGTCTGGAGGGGCTCAGAAACAAAATTGGGGATGCTGTTCGATTCGGATGGAGAGTGGTTATGTACTTGGAATTGGATGTATGTCGGTAAAAGAGATTCCCTCGAGTGCCCTGATTAGGTCTGGATGGTGGTGGGGCCCTATGATGTTGGATGTGTGCGGTATTGCGACTGTGACCTCGACGGTGCCTGTTGCTTCTGTTGTTCTACCCAACTTGTATATGTATTTGTTCTGAGGTCAGTGGACGATTACGTTGAGGGGGAGGAATGGAAGAGAGGAAAAACGATGAGGTGATGTGAATCTGAGCAGCCGTGGGGATTAATATGTACTTGTAGAAGTACCCTTCGGAGCACACTCCATTCCACCCTGTCTCTACTAGTCCTACACTACTTACTTGCACGAATCACGTAGTCTCAGTTTAGTCTACACTATACAAAAAGACGGAATGCTCCAGAGGCCAGCCCCTTGACCTTGTTTTCTAGTGCGAAAAAGCTTACTTACCGGGCCGGAAGGGGAGACGGTAGGCGGCGGGAAATACAATCATTGATGAGGAGACAGACGAAGACTTGGTTGCTTCCTTGGACCCGGGGCCTGCCATGCCCATCAATAGCGTTGGATCTTGGGCTTTTCTGGCCAATAGCCAGCCGTTTGGGATGGACATGGCCCCTGGGGCTAATGTACCTCCTCGTACCTACATTGGTCTGGTGTTGTCTGGTGGCGGGCGGACGGGGGGAAGGCATTCCCAGCTTCAGGTTTGAGCAAGATTGATGCCGTTCGAGGCGAAGACCTGTCTCGCGATTTCGGAAGCAGCCATGGAAGGGACATATGGAAAACGAGTGATGAGCATTCGATGTGAGATCCAAAGAAGAATGTCTCGGACTCATGCCCGTTCGTCTATTCTTAAATTGCACATCACCGTCCTCCTGGGTACGTCCCCAGAAGGAGGACTGCGAGGAGATCGCGGAGTTGTTAGGGCAAATGGCGCGAAGGAAGCTTCGCTACCCCACCTGGCAAGTCGACTCCACAGTGTCCCAAATACACTAGCACCTGCACAAGTCTGCTTCCCACATCCACTTTCACCTCACACCGCTCACCTTCCAGAGCCCAACCCCGCCATTGCGGTGTTCATTTTTTTGCCTTCTCCTGCAAAAAAGAAGGTGAGCAGCATAAGTGCCGTTTCACATCCAATACGAGTCGGAGTTTCTATGGGGAGGGGGAGGGTGGAAGCCGAGGTGAAGACAGAAAACGTAAAAAGTAGAGGTGAGGACGAGACGGGGAACCTCAACGTCCAAACAAGCTTTTGTGTCAAGCAGAAGGAAATGAAAGCAGGAAAAAGAGTGCGGTCAATTTCAGCGTTGAACAGCACTGAACTGCAAGAGATGAACATGTGTGAAGGAGAAGGACCAATGCACTGGGTACTCTGGACAGGACTGGGGTCGGTGTCCAATGGACAGTGAATCCTAACAATTATTTGGGGGGCCTGGGTGCCGTTGTCCGCCCTGCCGCCTTCTGAGGGTGCGGCCTTGGATGGTTTGACGCTTTCTTGGAATGGGGGATGGGTTCTTCCTTGTTCCTCTTCAACGCATCTTCAGCTCTTCACCAGACATCACATCAAACTGCATCCGGTCTACGGACGGCCAAGGATTCACCACCACGTCGACGTTGTCCTCTTTGTCGCCTACGGTTTGCCGCGTACATGATGTTGATGTCGTGGTGAACAACACTCGAGACATGGAAAAAGCCAGGGGACACCATGGTGGTAAGTCACAGTAGGTACTTGGCGGTGACCTGACAGCAACGACCATGTGTCCAGGGGTATTCGATATCAGAGAGACGGGACATGAAAAAGAAATCCTTCTTTACGACATCTTCACATGGTCACAGTCAGTGATATGAGGTCGCAATTCGGGCGCTAAGATTATCACCTTTTTGGGGAAATTACAGCCGTCGGTTGGGCGAATTGGGCTGACCCAAATAGCAACGGGAATTGATAAAGCAGGAAAAAACCACGACAGCGCGACGATATCTTCAGGTTGGCGCAGTGTGGCTGTCGAATGCTACTTTGGCGGTGCCTAAAGAATCCATGCCCCGATGTTCGTGGACGTCGAGTGGCTGGGCTGGATGAAGCCTGTCAAGCCCAATCTGATACTGCAGTGATAACGAAACTATCGTCAGCTTCATCCAGCCTGAATGGATGGCCGATGCCATGTTTGGTTCGGATCTCTATACCAAGTTGGGATCAAAGGCGCAGACTATCGTCGGCTGGCATCATATCGAAGCTATTTCAATGTCACTGCAGCAACTGCTATCTCGCTGCCATAAGCCATCCGCTAGATTGAGGCTGAGGACAACTCGGGATTTGCGATGTCAGCTGTGGCAGGGCATTCGTTATCTCGCTGGCGCTGTCGCTGAGCTGGCGCTGAGAAGACGCCATCAGCCGCTATGTCTGTTCAGTGAATGGCTACGATGCGAACTCGACCAAGTAAATTGTTTACGTGTACCGTGAAGGAATCCTTTGAAATTATCCGCCAACACCAAGAAGCAGCGATGAGGGGTAACAAGAGGTACTTCAAGATACCACTGCCTTCCAACGGGACGTCAACCGAAGGACAAGAGAAGAGATCCCGGCCGGCGGGGTAATTGGACGACTTTTTGTTCTCATGGTCCAATTTCCCCTCTTTCTCAATTCGATATGAAACGGGCAGCAACGGGACAAGAAGGCAAGAACTTGAACAACCAGCACACCCGGGTTTGGATGACGTCGGGAAGGCGGTTGCCCGCACACTCTCGCCGTTGAATGGTGACACTGACACTCGGTCCACACTGGTCTAGATTTTGTGATCGGCTTGTCGGTTACTGTGCACTTGCTTCTTTCTTCTCTTTTCTCCTCGCCAATCTTCTTCTTTGCAACGCTGACAAAAAAATGTGTGCTTCCCGTCCCCCGTCGTATTGTCGACAGCGTTGCAAGATCGGCCACCATGACGATAAACGGTACTTCATAGCGTAGAGGTATTTCCCCCAACTGAATTTTACCGCCATATCGACATTTTGGTCAAAATGCCATTTGATTCCTTTTTCTTTGGTCCTCCAAAACAGACTGTCGGATGGCAGCATTGATGTGACCATCATCCTTTTGCCCGCCCTGGAACGATGCACCAAACACTTGGGCGACAAACCGAAAGGTGTCAAGTTACCACGTGCCTGACGTGTACTAACAATTACTCACATATTTACCCGCAGAAGATGTTAGTGCAGCATGGCATCGGCGATCGAGTTCTGGCTCTTTTGTCTGATCGACGGCTGGACACCCTCACACATCTGCCACTTACCACATAGGGCAAATACAGAGGACGATCCTATTCCCAAAAAAAAATTGTATTGAGAAATTTTCGGTGTTTGTACCTGCAGAGTGCGGCGGACTGTCTCCGAGCAAAAGTCACCCTTCAAACGGCATTTTCTCTTCTGACAACGTCATCCTGCGCCTGCTTCTCTAAACCTGGACATCCTCGATGCGATCAAGTGATGCTGACCGGCCAATGAGTTGTCACACCTCGTTACCTCATTCACCCACCTTGACACCGCCAGTGACGACGTCGGTCGACATGAGGCATCAAACCCGTTGACCCTGTTACCTCACACCCACGACCCTTGGACCCCCGATACCAATGCTCCAACCCCCAGTCCCTAGGGTAACCTTCTCCCAATCCCTACACGTGTGCGTCGTCCAAGTGTTGCCCGCCATCAACTGTCTCCTTTCACTTCATTTTCGGGAACAAGGCACTAGTATCCGTTGAGCACTCCAATGACTCCCGAAAACCTTCGAAGCAGTGTCTTGGGTAGATTGTTTCTTCTTCATGGGAGGTCTGAGAGAGTGAGTGTTGGAAACGGTCTTGAGCTTGGGAGTGAGAAGAATGGATGGATACGAGATTGCGGAGCTTCTTGAATCTGTGGAGGTTATGCAAAACCACGAGCTGGATTACGTAGGATTGGGGGTTTCCGGAGAGGTGGCTGGTCTTTTTGAGGAGTTTAGCGGCGGAAAAAAACGTTACAAAGGGAGATGGACATGTATGCGAGTGTTGATGTGTCCTGATTTGGGATCTGCTCCCCGTCTCACTAAAAAGCGAGTTGCCGTCTTCTTCGGCTGTTTGATGGAGGAGGCGCTCCTTGCCCGAGGCCTCAGGTGTGCTTTTGCCAGTCCCGGTGCCTGGTCTGAGGTTGGTATGAGGGCTCTCGAGCGAGACATTGAACAATCGAGAAGAACATTCATTTTTGTTAAGTCGAAATCTCAGCAAGGGAGCATCCATACATGATCCCGCCAAGAGCATTGAGTTACCGTCACCACCGAAGTTTTCCCGGAGTCTGACACTCATCATTCATGCAGTCCCTGAGGTGTGTAGGAGGATAGTTTCACTCACAAACGACTTACAAGTCATAGAACGACCTCTGATGATACCAATGATGTGCTTACACAGACATAATCGAATCCAGTGGGCCTTTGTCACATGCTGAACTTGGGCAACAGAGAGTCACTATCCATTGATGACGATTGTGGTTTCTTATATTTCTTGCTCGCGCTATGTCTCACGATTTTCCTACCACTCAATTCACTTTCACCTCTGACGTTCTCATCCACATATTTCTTCCCATCAATTTCATCGTCTCAACGGCCAGGCGCTCCTCGATCGGCCCACCAGTTGTGTATGAGGCACCGTGGTTAATTTTCCATACTCGATCATACCCCCTTCTCAGATGCATAATCCCTTCGTTCATTTATCCATCTATCCTGCTTTCCTCATTCCTTCATTCCTCCATTTCACCTTCCTGTCCTCGCCATCCTTCCACCCCTGGTGCTTCATCTCCTCATTTAGTTCTCATCTTCGATATCCGTGTCCTCATCCGTAGGCTTGTTGCCAGGCTTGCTCGGAACAGGCTTGCTAGGAACCGTGGGAATAGGCTTGCTGGGGACGGTAGGAATAGGCTCGCCCAAGGTATGGAAGGGGACGAAACTGTCGAATTTGAACTTCTCGGGCTTGTTGCCATTGCCGGGCTTGCTGGGAACGGGCTTGCTAGGAACCGTGGGGATAGGCTTGCTAGGCACGGTAGGAATGGGTTCACCAAAGGTGTAAGGGGTGAAGATGTCCTCGTCCTCGGGCTCGGGCTTGTTGCTGGGCTTGGAAGGAACCGGCTTGCTGGGTACGGTAGGGATTGGCTTGCTGGGAACCGTGGGAATGGGCTCGCCAAAGGTAGCGGGGAGGGGAATGTTGAAGATCATTTTGATGGTAGAGTGTTGTGTGGTAGTTAGTGGCTGTTGGTTTGGTGATTTTGGTTGTCGAATTGTGAGTTTGGTGAAGTGATGGGAAATGGAAGTGGAAATGGATGCGATGTGATCTGCTGTTCAAGAGTTGCTCGGAAGGAGCGTACCTCTATGGAGGCTGCTTATATGGCTTCACGAAGATGGGAAAGTGCTATCAACATGACACCAGAGGAGGATACATCCGTCATTTGCCCTGACCGAGGTTGACGCTTTATGAAGGTGCCGCTGTTTGATGACATTGACTTTTGTTGGTGTTTTTGATTTCAGTGTCTACCAACTGTACCCGTATGGGATCGGAAGAACGAGCAATGGAACGAGGTATGTCCGCGACATCACGTCTCCGTTTGGGCAATTTCATCAATTGAAGCAATAGGTTCTCTTTGCAATCACTGTTGACGAAAAACTTTGAGCCATGGTCCTCGACAACACCCATCATGAACCGAGAATAAGCCATCGCGACAGCCATTTTCAACACTACGCAATACGTTTGTTGGCACAACGATCATCCAATGTGCACCAAGAGATCGAATTACCCTCACGCTATAACGACATGCTGCCAACTACGCTCCTTACTCCCTCTGTCAAACGCAAGTCTCCATTTCTAGTTCAATATCGATCCTCCTTTCATGGCCTTCACGGATTTCTCAATCCAACAAGTGTTATGAATGAAGTAAGGACCTCCTCGCTGACCAAGTCATCGCAAAGGCTGGAGACGTTTGCGCCCAGAAAGATATGCAAAAAAAAAAGAGTCACCAACCATTGTTCGAACGCACCACCTCTCCAAACAAGCGAAAACAGAAAAAAAGGGCAAAAAACAACAACCGCTCGTTCAGAGCAATGGTGAACCGTATGAATGTCTCATTCTGTCGACTGGAGCGTTCCCAGATACCATATAGGTAGACCGGCTACTAGAATGTGAAGACCCCTTTTCGTATATTAGCACACCGTTCCCGATCCGGACAGATAATAGGTTTTTTTTTTGTTTTTGGAATTTTAGAGACTCAATCGGTAGACCACTGTGCCATCTGACCAAGCGGTTGTTGTTGGAAGGGGTAGCCAACCAGGTCCCTTATATGGCCATTAGGCGGGTTCTGATATCGGATGACATGAGGAGGGCTCGGGATGGGTACAAGTTGGAAGGTACGGAAGCCACTCCTTTCTTTTTCTTCCTCTCCCGTGCCTTACTCCGTCATTCCCCCGCAGTTTTGATGCTCGAGATCCCGCTTATTCATGATCGCTTCCAGAACTGAAGAAGGCGCGCATCGCACAATTCCAAGTCTCGAGCTCGAGTCCCAGCCCGTCTTCTGAAGCCAAGAGCAACGTCCCACGACAGAGATGCGTCTCCGCCTCTCCTTCCCCGCAAATACCTGCTCAATTCTTCCCGAATGAGGCGGCGGTAAGTAGACTCCCTTGCATTCGAAAGCCGACAGGACCGGATCGTCCCGCCAGGTGAGACAAGATCGGAAAAACTTCCAGGAACTATTACCACCCCCACCAGACGCGATGACCCCAGCCGCCAAAGGTCGAAGATGACGGCGGCGACGCCACATTTGCAGGGTATTCCCGCCATTGCCAACCATCATGCAGATCTCAAGGTCCCGCGGGTGAGACATATTACTAGATGGTATCCCCCAGCGACAGGTTCACAGAATTTCCATTACCAAACCGAGTGTTTGAGGAGCGTGGGTAAGGCGCCGTACGACGTCAGAATTCTTCCGCCTTCTTGAGAACGTGGGATGGGGAAGTTGAGTGAACATCGTGTTTGGGACATGATAGGTTGGCTGCTTGGCGGTTTTTTCTGTTTTACGAGAAGACAAGCTGAGGTGAGTTCCCTTCGGAATGGCATATACGGGCTGGGGCTGACTGGATGAGAAGATGAACCGAGGAATGAAGCGACGGCGGACTGCATGTGGAGGACAAATGACGTTTTGGAATGATGAGCGGCAACCTTGAGGCGCGAAATCGCGACGACATGGAAGTCAGGCTTCGAACAGGGCCTCTTTGACTTATAAGTCGCCGGCAAGGCCCTGAAATAGGAGATTCCTGTACACGACACCTCTCACACTGAATCGTCAGTGTTCTTGAACCCAATCCATACCCCGAAATCCAGCACAGAAGGCTTCTCAAGATGGTCCTCAAAAAAGACACAACAACACCCTCCACCATGTCTTCACCCACCATCATCTCAGCCTCCAACGAATACTCCCCCCTCCGCGCCCTCATCATCGGCCGTGCCGCCCATTCCCTCTTCCCCTCGGAACCTCCACACATGATCCGCGCAACCATGCCCACCCTCCACCACCCCGAATTCCGTCCTCACCACCCTTTTCCAGCAGACATTGTCGCCAAAGCAGACCAAGAACTCGACAACTTTGCGCGTGTGATGACGGAGAGATTCGGTCTCAAGGTGTACAGACCCAAAGAAGTGGATTGGGCCAAGGCGAATGAGGGAAGAGGAGGGTATACCGGTGCAATGCCGAGGGATGGACTGATGGTGGTGGGGAGGACAGTCGTGGAGGCGTGTTTTGGATGGGGGTGTAGGAGGGGGGAGATTGAGCTTGCGTACCATGATGTTCTGGAGGATATCATGGAAGGCGCACAGAAAGCAGGCGAGTCAGTGAGGGTGTGTCGTGCTCCCAAGATTGTCGGGGCCGATACCTTGTATGATGGGCTTTTGGATGACGACAAGCCAGAAGATCGAAAAGATGGTGCCAAACAGAACGGGACTTTCAACAGCCAAAATGGCAACCAAACAACACACTGGGCAATCAACAACACCCGCCCGGCCTTTGACTGCGCAGACTTTATGCGCTTCGGCACCGTCCTCATCGGCCAGCTCTCGCACGTCACTAACCCCAAGGGCGTCGACTATCTCCGCGCCGTGCTGCCCGCCCCGTATACCGTCGAGCTCCTCAACACCACCGATGACCACGCGATGCACATAGACGCTACCATCCTCCCCTTGCGCCATGGAACGTTAATCTACTGTCCCTCGCGCGTCACCGAGGAGGAACTCCGACGGCACGAGGTTTTTGGGGACTGGGATTTGCGGCCGTTGCCGTGGAATCCCGAAGAGGAGGAGGAAGAGGAAGAAAAGGATGAGGGTCCGCCGAGGTACATGTGCTCCAAGTGGTTGGCTCTCAATGCCATGAGTGTGGACGAGAAGACGATTGTGGTGGAGGAGAGGCAGGAGAGGTTTGCGAGGTGGTTGGAGGAGGAGTTTGGGATGGAGGTGGTGAGGTTGCCGTTTAGACATGTGAATAGCTTGGGGGGATCATTTCATTGTGCGACTGTTGATTTGGTTAGAAAGGAGCTTTGATGTGGAAGCGGGAGGAGAGACTGGGTGAGGGTGAGGATGAGGGACTGATGATGTGGAGAGTGAAAATAGGTTGAATGCCAGTTGCTTGCTCTTTGAGGTTCTTTCCTATAAGGGCATATCTTTAGACGGTATCCTTGTCCTCGTCCATGTTCGGTAACTGGTGCTTGCTCGATGAGTGCTCACGCGTCAACTTCGAAAAGGACCATATTTGTAGCAGTCTAGGTAACGAGCTTGACGCTTGAGGGCAATATACTGGGATGGAATAAGAGCGAGGGAGTTGTATTGATGTATTGTACCATGCTTCGAGCATAATTGATCACTCACTAACAGCAGGCGGCTGCTTCTCCTCCCTTTCCCTCGCTTCCCTCTCCCCTTCCATTCTCGCACCCTCCAACGCCTCCTTCTCCTTTTTCTCCAACGCCCCCGGCTCAGTGATATCAACACCCAACCTCATGGCCTCGGCCACCTCGGCCGCCGGGCCCGTAAACCACCGTCTTGCCCAAACGACCCACGACCCTATTGACCCGACCGCAATGATCCCCACCGCTACCACGGTATAATTCAGCGTCTGGCTCGTGACCGGGTTGGCAGTAGGCAAGCAGAACACCACCGTGATGAAACAGATCCACAAGCATGCCGCGCCAGCGATGACACGGGAGAGAGCGCCGAGGTTGAAGGGGCCCTTCATGGCTGTAAAGTTCTTGTGCCAGAAGAAACCGATCATGATAGGCAGGCCGTAGGAGAGGTACAGACCGATGGTGGCGATGGAGGTGGCGGCTGCGAAGGCGACATCGCTCCCTAAGGAGGGGAGGGCGAGGATGAAGGAGAGGGTAGCGGCGAGCCAGACGGCGCGGATAGGGGATTTGAAGCGGTCGTCGACTTGGTGGAAGAAGGAGGGCTGTTTTGGGGGCCTGTTAGTAGAGTTCAACCCACGAAAAAAAAGGTAAAAGGAATAGAGGGGGCGACTGACAATGCCTCTGTCACGCGCAAACGAAAACATCATGCGCGAATTACTCGTCATGCTGAACAGCCCACAATGCCAGACACAAAGCATGATCAAGCTGAACAAGACCAGGGCGCCATCCTCGCCAGCGACGTCCACCAAGATTTGTAGCACGGGCTGCCCATACTTGCTATTCAGCGTGCTCTCAAAGTCCTGGATGCTGAAAAGGAGAGCCATGAGCACGAAAAAGCCAAAGAGCGAGCTGAACCCTACAGAGCTCACTACGCCGATGGGCGCAGACCAACTCGCATTCTTTGTCTCCTCACTCAGATGTGCACTGGCGTCAAAACCAGTGAGGGTGTACTGAGACAGTAAAGCGCCGCAGAGGACCACATATGCTGGGGAGGCGCGTTGGCCCCAACCTTCTGTCCCTTCTTCGGCTGCCGTTCCATCATGATACGTCCCAAACACGAACTTGGCGCTCTGGAGCTTGGGCGCCTTGGCCAAAACAGCAATACAAAGCGCCGTAATCCCCGCGCTGTGCAGGACAATGCTCACGTTATTCAAGAACCTCAGCCCCTTCACGCCAAACGTGTTCACCACGCCATGACTAACCAACAGGGCCGCATAGATGCCAATCGTCTTGGCAGCCGTCGGTTCGTAATCGGGGTTCTTGACCGTGATGGCTGTAGACACCAGGCCCGCCAGCCCGAATGTGATGCCCGTCGTGACGGCTACTTGCCCGAGTAAGTTGAACCAGCCCGTTAGCCAGGCTAAGAAGGGGGACCACCGTGGAGGGGCGAGCATGGCGGACCAAAAATAGGGGCCGCCGGAGGTAGGGATGGCGGAGACGATTTCGGCCATGGCGATGGCGACAAGGAGGGTAAAGAAGGAAATGACGATCCAAGAGATGGACATGACGGCTGGACCGCCGGTGGCGAGGCCATAGGAGAAGAGGGTGGTGAGACCGGTGATGACAGACTGTGGTCTGTTAGTGACGTGTGGAGATATGGGAAAAAGAGAGGAGACTGACGATGATGGAAAAGGATACGCCAAAGTTGTGAGCTAGACCCCAGTCGCGGTTGAGTTCTTGCTTGTAGCCGAACTGGGCGAGACGGGACTCGTCGAGTTCATCGATACCGTCGCTGCCATGGCCGCGGGCATGGGAGGGTTGCTCCAGGTCGGGTTGGACAGAGGATATAGAGTCACGAGTGCCCATCTTGACTGTTGTGTCTAGAATTAGGTTTGAGATTGACACTGTGGTGGTGTAATGAAGATGAGCAAGCTGGAAAAATGTGCGTACTTCAATAATGTACGGTAGAGGTGTAGACGAATGCAATGAAACTCCAACGTTTACAGATCACTATCGGCGGTGTAACACTGGCTTCCATGTGCACATTTCGCGATCTTGGGACTCTCGAGACAAGGGCAAAGAGAACGATGGAAGGAGGAAACATGAAGAAGAAAAGGTAAATAGAGAAGAGAAGACGACATGTCTTTCAAGATAAGGTCACCAGTCTTGAAAGATGGAATCAGCAACCACTCACAGCCCCCTCTCCTCAAACCGTTTGGACACTCGACGCCAACATGACCGTGGTGGGTTAGTTGGTCCGTTTAAGCTTATCTTGGCTTGGAGAGGCTGGATGGGTTGGGGATTGATAGGCTTGGAGATAGATAAAGTAGCCCACTCAGATACCACTCTTTTATCGATGGTTATTCGTGATGGATGTTGGGGTAAGGCTTGATCAGCGAATGATAGCCGGAAAGGACGTTGAATGTGTGCTGCTTTGGGGTAAGACGCGGGCTTGGCTGACACTGGCTGATCAAAGGCGGGAGAGTTGCACTGGGGAAGGGCCGAGGATGTGTGTTTTCTCATATTCTTTTATGTAAGGCATTTTATTGTCCGGTTTGCTACGTAAAGTCATCAAAAGTTGAGTCGTGATGAACAAGAGGAGGAGGACGGATGGGAAGTGGAAGCTGATAAGACAACGAAGTCAAGTTCAGTCGATGCTCTGGGGAAATTGTTAGTGCTGACGACGCGCTTGCCCTTCGCTTGATGTTGAGTGGCCCCAGTTGCCGGCCGGGAGGAGAAGTGGGGTAGTTGAGGTACCAGGTACATATCTGACTGCGCTATGTAGAGATGCCTGCCGGTAACTTGGAAATGTCAACACCACATCTTCCATCGCCACGCGGCATCGTCTTCCTGCCTTCTTTTGCTTCCCAAATCGAATGCAGGAGCAGCAGCCCACATGATTGAGGCCTGGTTACAACCTGCTTCCCGGTCTTTCTATCTGGACATTCCTTGAAACTTGCTGCATTTTGAAAACATCACGCCGGGCATGTGGTTGGTGGTCCGTGCTTTTCACGCTCTATGAAACCCCCCAGCTCCCATTTTAAGTTCCCTTCCCGTCTTGGGAATTTCTTCAACCAAACCATTATCTCCCCACTGAAGTATTTGGCATTCTTCAAGTGTCTCTGCTGGACGGAAGCTTCTTACTCCATCACGTTATATAATTCATTAATAAATTACACCTTGTTCAAGTCCAAGTTACTCGCCGAGATACCCTCCAGGCCCCCCTCACCGTGCATCACCTCGTGAGAACATCGACGTCCACATCACTGCAGCTACTACAAACACTCATCCACACCTCTCACTCACAACACAACAAGTAGGGGAACTCACGCCCCCCAAACACACACACACAGCCAAAATGTCATCACGCAACCGCCAATCTCGCAATCCCAACCGCAACTCGTCGTCCAGCACCCAAGGCGAGGAAGCCCAGATCTGGTCCCAAATCAAAGACGAGATCCGCGAGCTGGTCGATTCCATCAATACCTCCAATGACCAGATCCGCGCCATCCTCGCTCAGGACTCTCTGATTGCCAAGTCACGTGAAGCACAAGCTTCAAAAGAGAATTCATCCAATGCTGAAGACAAAACCGACATTGCAGCCCTAGAACAAACCCTTGACACGCTCATCCGCGCCGGCGTGGGCGGTGCTGACATCAGCAAACAAAAACTCCAAGAGGTGATTGAGCATGTCATGGTGTTGCGAGCACTGGTAAAGGCGAGGGAGGAGAGCGAAGGGGTGGTGCATAGCGTAGGCACGCCGGGACCTCATTCCGGTAGTGCGGGACGGGACAGAAACAGCTCCAGCCTTTTGGGGAGCGGAGGGAGATCGAGTTCGGCCCGGGGGCATGCGGGGGGAAAGGGGGATCGAGGAGGAGATCGTGAAGGGAGGGGAGATAGGGACCGTGATCGGGGTGACAAGGACCGTGGGGACCGTGGAGACAGGGAAAAGGGGGAGAAAGAGGGAGGGCGAGATCGGGACCGTAACTCGGAGAGGTTGGGTGACAAGTTGGGGTTGGGAGACAAGGACAGGGATAAACACAGCGACCGCGATCTGAGTTCCATGTACGACTTTGACGGCGCCGGCGACTCACCTGTCCCTTCTCCTCTCTCAAGTCACACCAGGAAGCTCGGCGGAGCCAACACTACGGCCGGCAGTGATCGGGCTTCTACCGCCCGCGACAGCGTGCCTCCCCGCGACACGCCCTCCAAGGATTCCGTCCCTCCGGAACCCAACACCAGCACCACGTCCAACGGCACCACCTCGGCAGGACCCACCACAGCAGGCGCCACCCAACGCGCCAAAGTCATCTTCCACAAAGGCCAAGACGTAGTCTTCAAGCCCAAAGCCTCCCCGGCCTCAGGAAGCGAAACCACCGAGTGGATGCTGGGGCGCGTGCAACAGGTTTCGGGCGAGGGCAAGTCTCGTCGGTACCGCGTGCAGGACGCCGATCCCGACCTGGACCCGGACCAGCGCGTTGAATACCGCACTTCTGCGTCGAGCATGATCCCCATCCCCGCGGCGGGTGAAGAAGAGAAGAAGCTGCCCAAGCTGGAAAAGGGCAAGGTGGTGTTGGCGTTGTATCCGGATAGCACGACATTCTACAAGGCGGAGGTGATGGGAACCGAAGCCGAGGGCGAGGGAGAGGGCAAGCAGAGGGTCAAGTTGAGGTTTGAGGGAGAGGAGAATAGTGGGACGCTACAGTTGGTGGAAAGGCGGTTCGTGGTGGAGTATAGGGCTTAGAAGGCTGATGTTGGGGATGAGGAGGCGGAGGATAGAATACCTTTTACGTCTGAACTTTCGGCTCAACGACCTTGAACTCGGTGATGATGGTTCGGATGAGCACGACTCTGGGGAAAGAAGAGATATTGGGGCAATGACAAGGGCAATATACATATGGGTTGCTCATATGCCCTGGGATGTTGGAGATTTTGGTGCTTGGTGGTTTTGCGCAGGACACAACGGAACAGGCACTGTTTGTACAAGCAGCGGTACACCTAGCGGGCTGTTTAGAATACCAGATATATCATTGTGGTATCAACAATTCATCCGATCCATGATTACGATTATATGTCTAGCTTCGGTGGGGTTCTCTTTTGCGGCGAGGTTTAATGAGTGCTTGTCTTTGTTCCAGTCCCGCAAACCTCATCGTGGAGCGAAGCGAGGTCTACACTACCTTTTTCGGGAGAGGCCGCCGGAAGCATATCGGCGGTTTGCCCTACCAGAGCAAATAGAGGCCCGAATAGGTAGGTAACAAGGGGATTGTATATCCACTGGTATCATGTCTACCTACCTATAAATATCCCATATCTTCCCATCCCATCCATGGTGGTTGTTCAGTTGTCCTGACCCAGTTGCCGGAGATAAGTTGCCGGGTTCATTTGGGGGGAGAGTCTGATTGCCGGAAAAGTCACGGCAATTCTCAGCATCGCATCGCTTCCCGTCATCATCATTTTGAATTTCCCGGTGGATCCCGCCAGTGCCCACTGCAGACCACTAAACTACAGGCCCCTCCCTGGTCGTGCCACGCCTGGCTCGCTGGAGGGAAGCACGGACCCCGCTGCAGCAGGAAATGGCAATTCCCGATCTGGCCGCTGATTGGCTCCTTCCTCAGGGGCATCAAGGAAATGGGGGAAATATCCTCGACACGGAAGAAGGGCCCTGTTCCCTTCTGGGATTAGCGACCAGACAAGCCAAACACGCAGTCCATGCTGAGCGACAGAGACGAGGACTTTCTCTCCGATGCCTGAGCCTGGCTTCATCAAATCTCCCAATTCCCCTCCCCTCCTCCCTCCTGAGCTCCGTCCTCCTGACTGACTGACTGACTGATGAACTTTTGCGCTTCTTCTGTTTCCATCTGTTCAGTTGTGACTTGCCCTGTCGACTGACTGCCGACTGTCGTGTCTCCGTCTCCATTCCCTTCTCTCCCACTCCCTCCCCTCAGTCCATCTGACTGCCCGACATTGGATCAACAAGCCTGATCGTCTACATCTCCGCCAGGTTTCACCCACTCCACGGCCCACGGCACCTGCTTTTAATTAATCTCTTTACCTGTCGTGAACTACTCTACTACCGAGCGATACACAGCCCGCTACCTACCTACCTACCTACCTACCTACCCGCGCTGTTTGCGACGACAACGACAGCATCTCTCACACGTGAAGAAGCATCAACGCCAGACGCCAGACGACATACGCCATCACCACTACACCCCTTTGCGCCTAATCCAATTGTAATCACCAACACGATACCCAAGGTACGCTCGTTTGTCTGTCTTCACTTCCCCAGGCTAGGCTGGTAATGGGTGGTTTCGCTACACCATGGCCGGTCGCCATCTTGAAACCTAATCGGTCTCCCCACTGTTCCCTCAACTGTCTCGCCCATATTACATTACCTACCACTACCTCCAGTCCAGTAGTCTACGTGCGCTACCACGCCTCAACCTCTAACGAGCCAGACTAACACATGTTTCTCTCCAGTCCACTCCTTAATTCCGCTTCCTGCCCGTCGCCAGTCGACAACTCATCCCGTCCCTTACACCACCACACTCCTTTGTCGCGATCCGATTGAACTTGTCGTGTCATCCATAGACACCCAAACTACACCACTCCGGTCGAACTCACAACCACCCACCCACCACCAACACAACTCCCACACACATCCACAACCTCTCCCTCCAGACCACCGCCAAAATGGGCAACGTCATGTCCCTCGGCTTCATGGCCAAGCTCTTCGGCACCAAAGAAGTCCGTGTACTCATGCTCGGTCTCGACGCCGCCGGCAAGACCACCATCCTGTACAAGCTCAAGCTACAAGACCACGTCACCACCATCCCCACGGTCGGCTTCAACGTCGAGACGGTCACCCTCCGAAACATCAAGTTCAACATCTGGGACGTCGGCGGCCAGGACAAGATCCGTCCCCTCTGGCGCCATTACTACTCAGGTACCCAGGGTCTGATTTTCGTGGTGGACAGCGCGGACCATAACAGAATCGACGAGGCGCGGGTGGAGTTGCATCGGATTATCAATGATCGCGAGATGAAGGACTGCTTGTTGTTGGTGTTTGCTAACAAGCAGGATATTGCTGGTGGTGAGTACTCCCTTCTTCTTCCCTTTGAACTGCTATTTCGACGAGGTGTCCGCTGCGCTCGGCTCTCTTTTTCTTTGCTCGCTGCGCTCGAATTGGGGGTTTTGGGGGAAAAGCCTGAGAAGTATAGACGGACCTATGCTAACCAAACAATCCTACAGCCATGACTCCCCAGGAAGTCACCGAGAAGCTCCAGCTCAACAAGCTCAAGGACCGCATCTACGCCGTACAACCCACCATTGCGATAGACAAGGCCGGTCTGCAGGAGGGCTTCAACTGGCTGTCCGATAACATGAAGGCTGCCCAGAAGCAGTGATCGATTTCTAGCCTCGATCGATTACGACATCAATAAAACACACACAGGGAGGGCCGCCCGCTCGGAGTCGACGTATGGGATCTGACTGGTTGGCCGGCCGGCCGGCTGTCTAATTACTCTAGCTGGCTAGCTGGCTTGCTCGGTCGGCCGGAAGGCTTCCCCGTCCGTTACTTCCAAGCTTCAGTCCCGTAGATGGATAATGACAACCTCGCTTCGAGACAAGATCGCAAGAAAACCGATACCCCCAGTCAGACCGAAGCCCTGACTCTATGGCGGTGGCCCAGGCCACAAGAAAGAAAGGAATGGAAGAAGGGAGGGGAAGTTGGTCATGACACATCCCAAGAAATGCTTTTTGTTCTAACGAAAACGGGAGATGTTCAAGCCTCGGCTCGGGGTACGCAACGAACAGAAGGACTTGGCTTGGCTGGGTGGGCAAGAAAGAGAGGAGGAAGAAGAAGCATAAAGGACAACGAAAAATAATCCGTAATTTACCCTAGTCACCTGATTTGTGTTGTTGTTGTCGTTGTTGTTGTTTGGCGCGTGGCTTTTGACATCCTTTTTGTTTGGTTAGCACAGAGAGGGAAGCTAGGGGAAGGGGGGAGACAGTAACAGCTACCTTGGTTGGTTGGAGCTGAATACAAAAGAGAGGTAGAAGGACAGAGACAGAGACAGAGAGAGAGAGAGACATATTGGTGGTGGAGGCATCATAGGATACCCGGGTAACTTGTTTTTTCTTCTTCCTTTTTTTATACCTAACTTTTTTTGTTTTATAGCGAGCTTCGTCGGCAGTTGTATGAAGAGAGAAAGAGAGTTGTCGGTACGTATTGATCATGGTCCAGGAGGTTTATATGCTTCGAGTGTGATTTTGTGAAGAGGAACCATGATGTCTAGAGGTATATTTGTACGCTATGTGTCGATACCCGCTGGTTCTATCGTAACTCCTGTTCTCGTGCCTATTCCATCCATGTATGTATTCCTGATCGCATCCATGTCAGGTACCTTCTCCCCTGCCCCTTCGAAATAATTCCACTTCCATCATCGAACCCCTGAGCATAGGTATCCATCTCACTATTCCATGTCCTCCCCCTTCAGGATCTCCTGCTCAGTGCCTCCAGCAACTCGAAACAAACCCGGACTAGTGCCGGCGGCGAATTTACACCTTCCAAGGCATGCCACCTAATATCATCCAGTGGTTCTAACGGATGATGCTGTCCTTGTGCTTGTGCGCCATCGTCGTGTGCTTCCAGCAGTTTCAAGTGCTCGGGATGAAACACTGCTAGCTTGTCTATCTCCGACGCAGGGAGCTGTAGGTTTTGATGCTGTGTTTGGACTTGGTAGAGGTAGATACTGTTTCGCCGTAAGAGGGATCTTGCGTCGCTTGTATACCTACCTACCTCTAAGATTCACAGTGCTTCCTGTGTACCTAATCTGTCGTGTGGGTTGTTGCTGAACTTGTTCTGCAGTAGCACCCAGCCATTTGAGGCGCAATCTCGAGCTTGTGAACTCATGGTGAAGCCGTTGCAGTTATACTGTTTGTTGGCGCTGTTGTTGATGCAAGGTCTGTCCTGTTTCCTGGGCGGTGAGATGGTGGTAAGTACCCAGGAATCAAGCCATGCGATGAGGAAGGTGAGTTGGACAGGTATTTCCAGTCCACTGTATAACTCAGTTCCGTCCCAGTCTCTGTCCGCCAAACGTTCTCAAGCTCACGGCCAAGCAGTCCAAATGGCTACTGACCATTCGACTTGCCATTCATGATATCGTTCAGCTCTCCTGACAGGCATGCGTTCATTTCTGGCTTGTTTGGCTGCTGTCCCTACCAAGAGGTACTGTCCCCCAAGGCGTTGCGTGGGAGTTCGTCCGCGTCTTCCAACACCAAGACCCTATCCCTATCCCTGCGACCCTTTCATCCTCTTATTCGGATGACTCTGTTGCGTCGCCGCCGCCGCCGCCGCCGCAGCAGCAGCAGCAGCAGCATCATGCATCCTTTTCATCCCCGCCATTTGCGCCATCCCCCCATGTCCTTGACCCAGTCCTCCCATCCCTTGGCCCATCCCGCCGCCGCCCATCTGTCCATGTCCGTGTCCGTGCCCGTGTCCGCCGATATTCCCCAACGAACCGCCCATGGCCTGAACCTGCGACTGCGCTTGACCCATCACCAGCCCCGTCCCCGTCCCGGCCGCAGCGGTATTCACCCGCGACCCACTCTGGTTCCCTGTTCCGGTGCCGAAGCCGATATCGTTGTCGTCCTGCGACACGCGTCTACAAGGGTACGTTTCGTTTTTGAGTCCTTCGAAGCAGTTGGTTGGTGACCAGTTGACTGCTGCTGCTCCTGTTCCCTGGGAGGTGCTATTGGCCGTATTGCTATTGAGGGAAGCCAGCGGGGTCGAGGTGGGCGAGGTGAAGAAGGGGTGGACGAGGGCGTCGGCGGCCGTCAAGCGTTTCTCGGGGTCGTATTCGAGGAGCGAAGCGAGGAGTTTGTAGCCTTCTGCGCCTAGCGAGGTCAGAGGGGTGGAGACTGTGGTTTGGTGGTACCATTTCTGAAGGTTTCCGTGCGTGTTTTGCGAAGCGGGCGGTTGTTGCTGGGAGCGATGGCCGTAGGGGTGGTGACCGCCGTGGGAGTGGGAGGTGTTGGTCGACAGCAAGGGCGGCTGTAAAGTGGACAACTGGCTATACTCGGGCATGCTGGCCAACAAGGGCCATCGCTCTCTCGTTGGTAAGCCCATCACGTCCACAATCTTCTGCATCTGATGCTTCTGGAACGGCACCGTCTTCTTGCTATCCATCTTGGCCTCCTCCCCCTTAAAGATCGGCCGAAGACTCAGCAGCTCCGCAAAGATGCATCCTACCGCCCACAGGTCAATAGCCGTCGTGTAATGCTTACTCCCCAACAGCAGCTCGGGCGCGCGATACCATATAGTCACGACGACTTTATCGCCCATGTAGAGGTTGTGAATCGGCTGCTTGAACACCCTGGCCAGTCCCAGATCGCCAATCTTCACTTCTCCGGATGAAGTAACCATGATGTTGGCCGGCTTCAAGTCTCGATGTAATACCCAGTTGGTGTGTAAGTATTGCACCCCTTGCAATAGCTGGTACATTATCGACTTGATCGTCCCCGGCGCGATCGGGTGTCGTGGTGTTTGCGTGTGATGGTGGATGATCTGCAACAAATCATGCTCTGCGTACTCGAAAACCATGAAGATGCACTTGTCCTCGAGGATGATCTCGATAAGCCGGATAACGTTGGCGTGGTTTCGCAGCTCGGAGCATAACGCCATCTCACGCACCGCCGACTGCGAGATGCCCGTGTAGTTCACCACTGCTTCACCTTCCTTATCGGGCTTGAACTTTTTGATGGCGAATTCCCCGGTTTGGCCTTGTCGGCCGGTGGCTTTGTAGACCCGGCCATAGGTACCGGAGGAGATGAAGCCGATCACTTTGTAGCGGTCGGTAATGCGGACTTTGGTTTGGTAGTTTAGGGGGCCGGCATTGCTACGCTGGTCTGAGTCTGAGGGCGGTTAGTGTCGGACTGGACTAGGATATGAGAAATAAATGGGGAGGAAGGCGATACTGACACCCGCGGTAGCTGGTTTCGGCCTTTTGGTTTCTTGCTCTATTTGTGCCGTACATCATGGGGGGTGATTGTATGTTTATAAGTGTGAGGTTGGTGCATGTAAGGTAGTGAGTTGGTAGTGAGAGGCTGGGCAGTCACCGCCCGTCTGTTTTGTGTTTGAAGATGCTCTCGGGATGTTTATGGAAATTGATTATATATCCGGGGACAAGAAACACACTAAAGGGATCATGCTGGGAGGGCAGGATGATGCTTTGTTTGGAGAAATTGGATCAAGTTCATCGACTCACATTTCGGTTTCGGAGGCATGTCATCTGAGCCGTACCCGATCTGCACGGGCCCGGGGGGAAAACCACTGAGAGACTCGGGAATGGATGAGCGGAGACGGTGTGTTAGCGTGGCCGGTAGCTGGGCGATGGAAGCCGGGTTTGAGAGTTTGGAGAATTCGAGTAAAGATGGCCGGTGAGGGTCTGGGAACACGACAAGTCTGGGGGTTTTGACGACGAGTTGGATTGATATTGTTGTCGCAAAGGCAACATCAAAGTGACACACGAAGGAAAACAATAACATCAATTGCCCTTTTCGTCACGAGCGACATGTCAGGCTAGCAGAGATCTGATGATGTTTGCTTCTGTTAGTGTGTCAGCTCTGATAAGCCACTGTATCGCTGCCGGCCTTAGCGCACCGTATCGATGTCCAGAAGGTGGGGTGGGCCACTTCACCTTTCCGTCTTCCCGATGTTTGTCCGGGACCGTCCCGTTCCGCTGTCCGCATCTTGCTTGATGTTGGCGCCGTTGTGGTATTGGGGACTTCTTTCATGGCATCCCAAAAGACCATGACTCTTGACACAAGGCCATTGTTCGATTTCCCATGTGGGAACCAACAAAATCACACCAGCCCAATCCAGCTCTAACAAACTCTCGCATTATCCTTTATTTACCTACCAACGGAAAACATTATATCGCCTGCTATTGTAGTCTAAACAGCTTTCACCCTCAGTTGTCCCTTACCTAGGACCCAACTTCTCCAGCACCCTCGCGCCCTGCTCTTCCCACTCCTGCTTCGTGATCCACATGCTCTCCTTATCCGCCATGATATTCGCCAGCACCGCACCACCCAAGAAGACCATATGCCTTCTTCTCGGCGGGTCCTCGATCCTGACCTTGAACTTGCTCAGCCTCTCCGGGTTGCCTCCCAGCACGCGCGTCAACCACAGCTGCTTCAGCTCCTTCTCCAGTCTGCTTGGGAGGCCGGGGTACATGCTGGAACCACCCGACAGGACGATCGCCTTGAATAGCGAGGAGCGCACGTCGACATCGGCGGCTTGGATAGTGTTGAAGAGGAATTCGGCGATACCCGGCTGGTCGCAATCCACCAAGTGCGGCTGGAACAAGCACTCGGGGGCCTCGAACCGCTCGGAGCCGACACGGATGACGCGGCCGTCGGGAAGGGTGTAGCTCTCGACGAGGACGGTGGTATCTTCGGACAGGCGCTTGTCGAGCTCGAGGTCGTACGAGACGTAGCAGAGCTTTTCCTTGATCTGGCGGACGGTCTCAAAGTCGGCAGTACGGTTCAGGGCGTAACCGCGGCGGAGAAGGAGGGCGATCAGGTTGCGGGTGACGTCGCGGCCGGCCACATCGAGGCGGCGGGTAAGGTGGTTGAGAACCACGGATTCGTAGACGGGAACGATATGCGTGACACCGTCGCCAGAGTCGACTACGACACCAGAGGAGAGACCTGCGCGTTGTCTGTCAGCTACTTGTTTCCTCAAGCCGCCGTGTAAAGGAGCGGTGACATACCCTGAGCATACAATGCCAGCACCGCCTGAATAGCGACATAGACACCTCCAAAGTCGTAGCGCTCAAACATGACTTCGGTCATCTGCTCCCTGTTCTTCAACGGGTTCAAAGGCGGCTCCGTCAACAAGATCTTTCTTCCCCGCGTATCGACCTTCATCTTTTCGTGAAAAGTGTAGTCCCATAGGTGCTGCATGTCGTCCCACTTCTTGACGATGCCGTTCTCCATCGGGTAGCTGATTTGGAGCATGGTGCGGGCGGCCGCGGCCTCGTCACCGCACATGATGTCTTTGATCACAATGTCGGACGAGTCGGAAAGCGATTTGGCTTCTTCGGCGCGGAGAATGGGGCGGCCGACTATCGAGGGGTATTGGAATTCGGGGAAGTTCTGGGCGGCGTAGCCGACTTTGAGGAAGCCGGTACCGCCATCGAGGACTGTGGACGTGGGAGAGAGGTGTTAGCTGGGCGCTGTGTTTAATGTGTTGCTGTGAATGGGAAGTGATTGAGGACGGAGCCCGACGGCGACAGCTACCATGGCGACGGTGATGACGCGGTCAGGCAGATGGGTGGGTGGATGGTGGTGTTGGTGGTCGTCAAGGTAGCTTGAGCTCGAGACACCAGATGGATAAGGGGTTGTTGGCGGAGAAGAGCTGACGTACCAATGGGAGCGTCGGTGTTGGCCATGCTGGGCAGCTGTTTGTTTTGGTAACTTTCAATGGAGTTGCGAATAGCTTCGTCGGGGTTTCGAATATCGAGTGTATATCGGAGCTAGAATGGAAAGCTCCCGCGGGTGAATCAACAACCAAGTGTCGGTGGTCCCGTCGGTCGGTCGGTGCAGTGGTGTCGGTGCCCTGTCCGGGTTACGGTAGCGGAGTGAGTGGACTATGGCACCGCAATTAGCTGGAGTCCAGCGCGGTAGCCTAGCTGGGGGGTAGTATCGATGTGTGGGGTCATTCGCTAACTGCCAAGCTTTCCTTCAAACAGGGCGCCGCTCGTCTGAGCCAAAATAAATGAGACGAATCAACAGGCTAGGTACCTAGGTAAACCAGTCCACTACCGCTCGTCAAGATCATAGAAAAGGCCGTTGCAAGACTGTGATAGGGATTATCACAATTCGAAAAGACCTCAACTAGAGTCCCTTTTACATATTTTCATTCCGGAATTGCCTAGAACTTGAGATCAGAGGTGCTACCAAGACGCTTGGATGCGTAGTTAGCAGTCTCGAGGCAGTATACCCAAGGAGCCAAGGTATAATGTCAAAGGTCTCGATGATTTTGACCAGGACGAGCGCCGATGACAAGCGGGTCTTGGCAGGATTCTGGACCCCAAGGGAGTGGCAGGCATTAGGGTACCCACGTGATACCCCGCATGGGACTCGCACTTGTACTTGTACATGCACCTTGTTGGACATCGTGAGAGATCAGACGGAATGGATCATTCATTCGAGAGTGGGGTTTGATATTGGTTTCTGCCTTCGTTTTATTCTTCATTCGTTGTCATCAAAACATTTGTCGCGTTTGGAAGGTGTGTCCCATTTATTTGGCGGCGCCTTTTCTTATTTTTGCTCACTCAGGCCGTCCATAAAATCGGTATTTTACCAACTCAATACAATACTAGTAGGTTGTTGCCATTCAGGTTGTTCCGTCTTGAAACTTTCATCCAATATTTGATCTCCGTGCTACCAGGCCTGCCATGGACTCAGATCTGACCATTTCCACCTCAGACCACTTATCAATTCACCTCACTTACTCACCCCCCTCGTCAACATGACTACCGCCCACCAAGAACCAATCAGGATCCTGATCCTCAACCCCAACTCGTCCAAGTCCATGACCGATGGCATGGCAAAGTCTATTTCCAGCTTACACCTCCCCGACGTCTGTCTTCCCTTCCCCCTCCACCTTTAGTAACCAAAAACGTGGACTAACACCCCCCTCCAGAACATCGAAATCACCTACTACACAGCCTCCACCTCTTGTCCAGCCAGCATCAACAACGGCACCGACCTGGATACCTCCGCCTCCGTCGTCCTCCAAGACCTCAGCAGCAACCTCCAACTCCTCAAAGACCACGACGCCGTCCTAGTATGCTGCTACTCCGTGCACCGTCTCGTCCCCGGCCTCTCGGAACTCGCTGCATCCAACGGCTTCTCCCTCTCCGTCACGGGCATCTTTGAAGCCTCCGTCCTCACTTCTCTGTCGCTGCTCACGGGCCCGACGAAGAAATGGGGCATTGTCACGACGGGAAAGTACTGGGAGGAGCACCTGACGGTAGGTATCAAGAAATTCCTGGGTCAAGAGGAGGAAGGGGGAAACAATACAAAGTTTGCTGGGGTGCAGACGACGGGGTTGGATGCGGGAGATTTCCATGGGGATATTCCTAAGGAGGTAATTGATGCGAAACTGGCGGAGGCGACCAGGAAGTTGTTGCAGGCTGGGGATGTGGAGTGTGTGGTAATGGGGTGTGCGGGCATGGCTGGACTGGAGCAAATTATTCGCCGGACTGCGATTAAGGAGTACGGCGAGGAAAGGGGGAAGAAGGTCATGGTTGTTGATGGAGTCAGAGCGGGAGTTGGGCTGGTGGCTGAGATGGTGAAAAATAGGATAATGTTTACCCAGTAGGGACGGAAAGGGAGTGGAATAAGCTTTGAAGCTGGAAATTTCTTTTCGAGTGATTTGTACGCAAGGTCGTCGCAGTGCTCCCTGCCTTTTTCCAAGCTCTCGGGGCAGAAGTCACATCGTACAGTCCAGTACTGGTTTGTTTGTTAGTTCGAGACCTCGTGTCAACTTTCCTATGCGTTTTCATGGCTAACTAATGTATAATCTTACCTTGGGCACGCCACGCCATCTCTAATATTCAAAATGCCAAATCAAATCCAACTAACACCTTTTAATTTATCAAAGTAACCTTTAGGACTATTCGAAATACATTTTGTCTAGTGCACTATGTTTATTGTACAGCAGGAGTGCCTGGTGTACCAAATTACGCCCAAAGTTGAAATAAGCAACGCTAGAAGTCAACCTCACATAAGACACAACCACCACCCTCCAACTCCCCCCTTATGCAACACTAATAGTACTATGGTAGGGTGGTGGTGGTTCTTGTTCTGCTGGTGCTGTGCGGGTGTTCGATAGCAGCAGTGGTTTGTCGGGTGATGCAGAAACGGGTTTCCAAGTAATGATGTAGTATCCCATGTCAAGCGGCCAAATAATTAGGAATGTCAAGAATACCAAGCAGAATGTTGTGAGCTGATATCGCCGACTTTTGCCGTTGACGTTCGGGAATGCTGTGATTGATTGTTCTCCGTGCATGGTTGTCCATATCGTTTCGGATCGAACCCAAAATCTCAGGATACTCAGGGCCAACCAGACAATGATGCCTGGAATGATGATGAGCAGTTTGAGATCAAATCCTGTCGTTGCCGAGATCGTACATTCGCTGGCGAGTGGACACTCGTTCGCCAGCGCACATGTGCAGTTTGTCGGGGTAGTCATTTTGGACACTATTACCATTATATCAGAAAGGAGTTGGAGAGACGGGGAAGTAGAGAGCAGAATAGCAAGCAAGAAACATAGGTACCTCTTGGTTCAACGACAAAGGACGACCGCGTGGTTTGAGAACGACAACGATTGGAGCGGCGGCTTGGTTTGGTTGAACGGCAACGAGCGGCGGCTTCAATGGTTTGGTTGAACGACAACGAGCGGCGGCTTGGTTTGGTTTGAATAAGTGTGTTGAGTAGTGAAATGTTGTACGAGAAAAAGTTTGGTTCTCGGGAGAAGAATTTGAGAGGGAGATACGATGGTTCAAGTACGTGTTGGGAGGGCCCGGGTCAGGTTTCCTGTTTCCATGCTTTCATCCTTGTGACAAGTCATCCTTTCCGCACGAGCGAAGCTCACTTCTGCAGTTGCATAAGCTGGTTCGGAGGTCCGAGGTTACGGTTGCCGAGTTTAATGCCTACCACTTGCCAGGTTGGCGGTTGGTTATTGCCTTGTTGTGAATTTGAGATAGAAGGTGGTAATATTGTCTTGCTTGTACAAGGGAAGTTCACTTCCGTTGTATTATAGAAATCCCTAGGTATACTCTGAGCAATGCACGAAACTCTGGCCTCCAAAACAACACGCAAAAGCACAATACAAACGCCCAGCTTATCAACTCACCACTCAGTCCACACGCCTAGTACGTCCCCAAACCTCATCCGCGTTCGCCTTCCCCTTTGTCTCGGGCACGATCCTCACGATAAACAAAGCCCAAAACGCCGCCAGCCCTGCAAAAATAAAGTAAACCCATCCAGCACCTCCCAAAATTCTGTTCAGAGCCTCATTCACCACTGGGAACCCAAAGGCCACCAGGAAAGTGGCAATATAACTCGCACCCAACGCCCAAGACTGTGTAGCGCCCACCGCCTCCTCACCCACCAGCTCGCTTGCCAGGATAAAGGGCACTGGACCCAGCCCGACCGCGAAGAAAGCCACAAAGAACAGGGCTGCTACGGCGGACAAGATCTTGACGCCGAACATGATGGAGAGAGCAAGGACGAGAGACGACACGCCCTGGCCAATGGTAGAAGCCAAGAGACAAGCCTTACGGCCAAACTTGTCGGGCAGAGGCGAGCAGGCAGTAGTAGTGCCTAGGTTGATGATGGAGATGCAAATGGTGAGGAGGCCCGAAGAAAAAGAAGGCGGGAGCAGGTCGCGGAAAAGGGAGACCGAGTACATGATGATGGAGTTAATGCCGCAGAGTTGTTGGGCGAACATGATGCCTACCACGGCGATAATGGCGGGACGGGTGTTGGCATCTTTGAGGGCCTGCACGAAACCGAGATGGGGTTTGCTGGCCTTGTGGGGATGAGGACGCGAAGATGTGGAAGGGGATGGGGAGTTGGAGCGAGAGGAGGTGTCTCTGCGCAACAGGCCCTCCATGCGGTCCTCGACACTGTGAAGGAGGGATTCCTCCTCGCTAGTAGGTCTCCCACTTCCCTGGCCCCATGACTCGACTTCCTCGTCGATATTAGCGTTCTTGCCACGGATGCGCTGAAGTGTCCTCCTCGCCTGCGCGACATCGCCCTTGGCGCTCGCTGTCCACTTTGGGCTCTCTGGCGCCAACAGCAGTCCGAATCCCTGAGCAGCCGCCACCACCACTCCAGATCCTAGGATCCACCTCCAGGCCGAATCGTGACTCAAGAAGTATCCCATGGTTTGCGAGATCAAGATGCCGAGGTTGATGCTGATTTGGGTAAAAGCACCAAATAATCCTCTCTGCGCAGGAGGCGCGATCTCGCTGATGTAGAGGGGTACAATGACCGTGCTGGCTCCGGCACCGACACCGGTCAGAAAACGGCCTGTCGAAAGCACGGGGACGGAGTGGGAGAGGGTCTCGATGAGGGAGCCGACGATATAGAAAGCGGCTGTCAGCTGCATGGAGAGCCAACGGCCTCGAGAGGAGGTGAAGGGCCCGGCCATCAATGCGCCGAAGAGACCGCCGATGGTGAAGATGGCGGAGACGGTAGCAAACTGGGGTCGGGTCATGGGAATGCAGTCGACATCGCTCGAGGAGTTCTTGACGTAGGACAGCAGGCTGGAGATGGTCGAGGAGATGGAGGTTTTGCGGCAGGTGATGACATCTTCGGGGGCGTTTAATTCTGCCTGGAAAGATTGTTAGTAGAGATACTTCGGGTTTGGGAAGGGGGGGGCGTATACCAAATGGAAACCAAACTGAAGAGGACCGAGGGTGCTGACGACTATCAGCACCACCAGGTACAGCGTTAGGTCGCGGAGGTTGGCGGCCATGATTCTGAAGATGGCCTGCACGACGAGGAACGCGGTAAAGACTTTGAGGCCAATCTTGAACGGAAGTACTCCAAATTTGAGTAGGAATCTCAACTAGAGAAGGGTCATGGTATCTCAAGCAACGAAAGGTCTAGTAGGTTGGTGCAATGGAGGAGATGGTGGAATGATGGTGTTGCCGTCATGTTGGAGATTCCGTCGTGTCTCACGATGGAAGTCGACAATAACGGAAGGTCGCTGGAATGGGAAATGACAGGGGACTTGTTGTCCCCGCGCCGCTATGGGTTGGGCCTGCCAAGTCAGCGGGGAATGGGCTGGGGATCCTGGCGCTTACTTCCTGTACAAACAGGAATTAGGAACTGTTTTCGGTAGAGGTCATTTTCCTAATCGCATAGACATGGCCCAATGCTAAACACTTTGCAACATGACGGAAAAGAGGATATTGAAATGGTAAAGTGAAATGTCGGGAATTGTAGGGGAAATTTATTCTTCGGAACAGTAGGAAAATTCGTACGAAACTGATGGTAGAGATATCTACCTACCTCCGTCGGCACCTACACACTCCCCTACGCAGCTGTGTCGTCGGTGCCCGGTCTTTGAAAGGAGCATTGATATGGTGCTATTTTTGGAAGTACCTGTTAGGGCATGTATACAAAACCGCTGTACGCCCTAACATGCGACGGAGAAAGACAGCCAACACTATGTGTTTAGTACCTCGACGCACGTTATATTCCAAAGCAGTGACCACGCGGGCGGATGCAGTCGATATATGTACATCCAAGCGTCTGCTGTCGGATTATTGTGACCTCTCTACACATCACAATATACTAGCAACAGCCTTCTTCCAGCAGTTTCTTGGCTAACTCGGGCCAGATAAGTACCTTCCAATTAGACTGTCCATGTTCGGTTCCAGTTGTTTTCCCGACCACTTCTACGGTAGGTATTGACCTTTCACTTCCACTTGGGATAGGAACTTGGTGAGCGGAAGGCGGGAGTAGGGACGGACGGTATATTACGGCAGACTTCAGTTGTACCTTCCACTTCGATATGCTCAGGCTTCTCTTCTTCCCCCAAACAGAACTCGACCATTGTGCCGTCTCCATTCGGTTTGCTTCCTCAAATCAATCAACATCCGTCATTATTGATGCTTCATTTTCCACCTCAAGCCTCACACCATGACCGCCATCGTGACAGCGCATGCGCGCTCAGTCCTGGAAACCCCGAGCCACTGAGGACATGCTTTCACCCGAGATGCAAGGCCATTGGGTAGCGGCGCGCGCAAGTGCCCGGCATGTCTTCACTGCAGCCCAGTCTGCTGCAGCCCAGCATGGTGGTCGACCAGGAGGCCTGCCTGGAGCCTGCTTGGCCAACATCCACCTACTATACAGCCAGCCGGGGTTTATCATATGTATAGGTAGGTGGAGCGCCCCGTCGCCATGTCCTCCCACGGTGGAACACTTACTCACAAGTTCAAGTTCAGGTGTCTAAGTAGCATCTCGTCTCTGAGAACACGCCGCCATCGAAAAAATGTCCGGCCTCGAGGCCTTCGGGCTCGCGTGCAATGTCATGCAAACTATCGGCTTTGCTATAGAAATGGCATCCGTATGCCACACCATCTTCCGTACCGGCTCCCCAGATCCCAGCATGACAACACTGCTGGCCCATTCCACCCAAATCACCACGAGTCTCAAAAGTTCGATATCATCCGCGAGGCCAGTTACACGGGATGACAAGGAGCTGCTCGATATCGCAAACAAATGCCTCGACGCCATTTCTGCTCTCAAGGTTCAGGTCGACAAGCTCACCCGTCCCTCTGCCAAAGGCAAAGTCCTGCCCTCATTGCGATTGGGTTTACGGGCAAAGTTCAAAGAAGGGAATATCGACAAGCTGGAGAAGAAAATGCGCGATTACCAAAAGGTCCTCGAGTCCGGCCTTCTTCTGCGTATCTGGTAAGGCCATGATGTATCTTACAACAGATCTAATTGTTTGTTCGCGCCGGCTGACTGTCCAAATCATCATGATGTGCAAGCAACCAAAATGACGCGCTTCAACTGAAAATGGAAACCGGTTTTCAACAACTCGACAGTACCCTCCAGTGCTTCGTAGAGGCTGTCTCTCGAGGACAGGCTAATCTCCAAGACCTCATGAAATCGATCCCTGATTCTATTGTGGAAGTAGTCAAGGCCGAATCCACGGTGCAAAATGCCGCAACCACAGTCATTGCTTCTGAAGTCAAAAAGACGCAGGCAATGATCAAGGAAACGTCCCTGGAAGCTTCCGCGGAGGAAAAGCGACAACGACTTCTCAAGAGCCTCAAATACGACACTATGGGTGAACGTCTTGGCCAGGTCAAAGCGGCTTTTGCAGGGACGTGTAGATGGATGATACAGTCAGCACCGAACAGTATCCAGAGTGTACCCGATGGAGAGAACTTGACACCTGTCTGTCCACATCGCACAACCCACGAGAACAACCTCTCGTGGAGTTGTTTTCCTTGCTGGCTGGAATCCCCAAAGGACAAAATCTACTGGATCCAAGGCAAGGCTGGATCTGGAAAAAGCACACTCATGAAATTTCTCGTCACCAATCCCGCTCTCTGGCATCCCCAAAGGCAAGCTGACGGCCAAAATCTCATTCTTTCACATTTCCTCTGGGCCGCCGGCTCGCCGCTTCAAAAAAGTTTGCGTGGGATCCTTCTCAACCTACTTTACCAATTGCTATCCAATGATGAGCACGCCCTTGATCACGTTATCGACACTTTCCCCGACCTCAAGCTCAAAGACCTCTGGGGAGATTGGACACTTGAGGACTTGGAGAGAACCATGATGGACTCCCTCCACGCCATCGCAACCAGACCTGTGTTGATCTTCTTGGATGGCCTTGACGAGTTCGGATCATCCAACACAAGCGTTGCTGATGACCCGCGCGATATGCTTGACCTAGTGGCGAGGCTGTCAACGTTTGATAATGTCAAAATGTGTGTTTCCAGTCGACCGGAGGCTGTGTTCAAGAATAAATTGGGCGGCCTATGCAGTCTGCGGCTACAGGACCTTACCCGCTCCGACATGGCGAAATACGCCAAGGCTGAGCTACTCTCAAATGAGGTCGTGGGTCTTGAGAACCAGAAGGAATATCAGAAACTTGTCAACAAGCTCTGCAACATGGCTGATGGTGTCTTTCTGTGGACTGCCCTTGCGGTCCGAAGTCTCTCAAGGGGTCTCACCAACGAAGATGACATATCCGAACTGTACGCTCGGCTGGACAAGATGCCAACGGGCCTGTACCCACTCTACAAAGACATGTGGGAGCGCCTGAACGAGGATCAACATCTCTACTGGAAAGAGGCGGCTCTGTATTTCCAACTGGTCATACATTGGTGGCGCATGCCTTCCCACAAATTTGAGAAACGCTGCACCACGTTCCATCTCCTTGCCGCCTTCGACCCGTCCATTTCCCTGGCATATCTGAATCACGACACGGCGTCCTTTCCCGCGGATCTAGAGGCAAGGTGTGAAAAACTTGGGAAGCGCGTAGAGACACGCAGTGCCGGGCTTCTAGAACATGGTGATTATGGCAGCATTGACTTCATTCATCGATCCGCACTCGAGTTTCTAACAGATACTCCAGAGGGCCAGCAGATTATGGCACATGACAGGTCTACCTTCAGCGAGCTCCGGTCATGGCTATTACAGGCTGATGTCGCCAGAGCGTACCTCATGATTATGAAACCGGTTAATCCTCATATATTCAGGCACTGGCATTCTCGCTGTCCAGATGACGGGGCACTTTATTTAAATGAGCTCATGCAAGATGTTCATCTCAATTGGGACGACAGCGCATTACCAGGCGACGTTCAGATCATGCTGCTCGAAGCATGTAGGCGTATACTCGAAGTGGACGACATCATGCACACAACGGCGCGTCCGTTCGATTTTGCAGGTTCCTACGCCGTACGTGGGTACCACAATATTGTTATCCCTTTTGTCCGATATCCTCAATTTAGTCCCCACATGGACGTTATCCGGTCACGACCTTACCTCATCTACCTCTTCATTACATCTACCGTAGGGCCCTTTCCCCACACAAGATCCAACTACGATAGAGTGGTACTAGGCAAAGCCAAAGTGGGTGAAGCTATTTTGGCTGAACATCCTTTTCTTGAGTTTTCAGAACATGTCTTTTCCGCTACCGTGGAAGGCTGCTTCTCCAATGGTAGTAGTCGGCAAACCTTGGAGGCAAACGAAAGAACTGCAGTGCTACTTCTACTTGCTGCCTTGACATGTCCATCCTACTTTGGAACCAAACAGACAAAGCTTTCGAAGGACCTCGAAATTTTGTCTAAGCCACGGATATATGTGGAAAATTTCTTCCAGCGTTATCCACAAAATGAAGAGAAAGTGCTTCTGAAAATATGGAAGAATTCGCCGGAGGGTGACAACTGGCACATCGACATTGAAATTATGGGGCATGAGTTAAGGCACATGGACGAGGTGGTGGTCATCGAATGCGATACAGCATATGCCGCAGAGCTCTTGACCCTTGGACGGGCTCGTCGAAGAGAAGCAGGTACTGGCGAGAACAAGGCGGCCACGGTGACGGACAAGGATACAATATGGAGACGGGCAGCGGGACTGAAGAAGACCAATCCAAGGGTCCTGGTAGCAGGGCAGAAGAAAAACGATGAGCATGAGCCGTGGATTTGGGAGCCAGCCACTTACGACGATGCAAATAGCGTCCTCTCCAAGCTTGAGAATATTCGCTTGGCGCAGAACGAGAGTTCCTTTTGGATACCAGGGTTACAAGACAGCCTGAATGAAATATGGGGGAGAGGAAACCCTCTCACAGAAGAGGAATACCAGAAGCTGGCTGACGCCAATTCTTTCAACAATTTTGCGCTGGAGTTTATGAAGAGCTTCAAGAAGTTGACCTGCTCGGCAAATCACTTGCCTTGGTTGGCAGAGTATCGGAAGAAGAAAGAGGAGCTGATGCGGCTTACAGGCACGCCGGTAGAAAGTCATTACATCCATCAATCGTGGGGGTTTCATTTGTAAGACGACAACTACCTCTAACGAAGATTAGCCTGGATTTCCAAGAGGGCGAGCGGATAGAGCGAGAGTGGACATGGAAGTAAGGTGTTGAGATAAGGGCAGTCACCACCCTCGACAAGCACAAGTCACTGTTCACCTCTAGCACTTTTTCCCCTTTCCCCATGCATCCCCTCTCGAATCACGCCCCGCATGCCATCACGCGCCTCACGCCTTTACTCCAAACGTCTCCCCCTTATATCCACCAGCCAAATACCTCCTCACCCCTTCCTCCAACGTATCCAAATCCTCCTGGTTGACTTCCAATACCTCATTATCATTCTTCTCGTACAGCGTGCCGCCCCGAGCCCAGATCCTACGCAGCGTGACGAGAGTAGCCCAGGGATTGGGCTGCGGGTTGTCGCTCTTCTTGTCCCAGAGGACGTCCTCGAGCGATTCAATCTCAGGGAGCGGGGTCTTGATGACCTCGAAATCGAAGCCGGTTTGCTTCTGGAATTCCGAGAGGACTTCATTGGGGGTTACAATGAAGGATTGGACTTTGAGGGCTTTGCCGAAGGATTGGGCGGGGTGGCGGAGGGTGGCGGTGACGAATTTGCCGACGCTGGGTGGGTGTTAGTGTATGGGTTTGATATGAGGAATAAACAGGAAAATCACACTTACTCCCACATGGTACAAAACCCAACCTTGCCCTCGCCATCACCAATGATGTACGCCTTCTTCTCCGCCGGCACAAACCCGCCAGCCTGCTCATAGCCAGGCGTGGGATAAAGCCACATGTCAAAGTACGGCCCAGTAACCACATACGTGACCTTCAACCGCTGAATCTTCTCCCTGATGTGTTTCCTCAGCGCCAACTTGCCCACGTGCGTCGGCTCCTGGGCACTCTTCTCATTATGCGCCACATCCGTGCCAAACTCGGACGGCAAGAACCACTGCACGCTTTGTGAGTGCTCAGCCGCGTCGATGATTTTGGGTTGGTACTTGAGCGTAGCGCGGCCCAGGCAGGAGATGACGGTGTCGAACTTGCCGTCTTCAAAGACCTTGGTGAAACCTGCTTGGTCGAGGGATTCGACGTCGCCGGTTACGACGTTGAGGCCTTGGGATTGCCAGTGCTTGATGAGTTGGGCCTTTTGGGAGGAGGGGTTGGAGTCCCAGCCGGGACGGGTGAAGAGGGAGAGAGTGGTGTAGGGTTTGGGAGTGGCGGCAGAGAGGAGGGAAGAGGTGATGTAGGCGCCGATGGTGCCGGTGCCGCCTATGATGAGGACGTTGGTGGGTTTGAAGTCGCTGGACATTTTGGGTTGGGGTCTGAGTGGTGAGGTGTGAGGTTGGGTGTGGTGGTGGGCGATTCTGTGGGTTTATCAGTCGGAGCTCTACACGTCGCGAACGAAGGAGATATAAATTGTTCATTGTACTAATTCCAATTCATTCTTCCATCAACCTATATATGTATTTCTAAGCACAAGTTGTCCAAGCACGTAAAGGAAGTGAAATTGGGTGACGCTGTGAGTGAGTGTCCCACATTTGCCCCGCACCGGGAGCAGTCCGGGTGACACCGGCGAAGATCTCCCGACTCTCGAGTCCGCCCCGGGACATGGACACGGCATCGCAACCGGAGGCAATGTGCTTGATGTTTGTTAAACGGCGGCTTCCTATGTCAATGCCGGAAGACTTGGCTCTGAGTTGATGATGGCCGACGGCCGCTGGTTAGTGTATCTGCCCCGACTTCCCATCAGTAAAGGACGGACCCTACATCCGTCATTCTTGCTTTCGCTGGACGGCTGACAGAGGTGACTGATTCAATGGCAGGGGACTTCAAGACCCTTGCGCTGGGGCAGGCAATGGGTCCTCCCATGTAGAATATGACCCCACTACTTCCAGATCCAACCATTTCATTGGTCAATGATTCAAAGCTGCAGCCCAGCGGCAGGCAAAGCAATCAACAATTTTTTTGTTTGTTCGCATCGATAATCGCGAATTCAGTTGCGAGGTCGACTTGAAGGCCCATTCAGTTCGCAACCACCACGCGCCGCCGCCAATTGCCAGTCACCCCCGCGGTCGCCAACACCACCCAGTCGCCCATCATGTCTCAATCAGTAGTCGGCTCGCCACCACCCACAAAGTCCGAGAAGAAGCACAAAGACAAGAAGCGCTCCAGAGAAGAGGCCGAAGAGGTCCCCGCCGTTGAAGATGCCCCCAAGAAGCACAAGAAGTCCAAGTCCGAGTCGCTAGAAACCGAGACGGCCGACAAGAAGGCCAAGAAGTCGAAAAAGTCCAAGAAGAGCAAGGTAGAGGCTGAGCCAGAGCAGCCTGAGGAGGAGGAGGAGGAGAAGGCTGAGCAGGAGGCGGCCGTCGCATCAGAATCCGAGGCCGAGGAAAAGAAGAAGCGCAAGAGCAAGGACAAGAAAGAGAAGAAGGAAAAGAAGGACAAGAAGGACAAGAAGAAGCGACAAGCATCCGCCACCCCCGAGCCCGAGACCACAACCGATGCGATGGACGTCGACACCACTACCTCCTTCCCCACTGACGACGACGCCGACTTTCCCTTCTACACCCAGGTCCACTCGCTCTATGTGCCCTTCTACCCCTGCGGTTTCGACAAGCCCATTACCAACGTCGCTGCCCAACACCTCGAACCTCTGCTCAACCACTACTCCCCCGTCCTTCGCGGCGTTCTCCTCCGCTATACCAACCTGAACCTCTCGGAGCGCCCCGTGCAAGCCTCCGTCATCAACCCGCCCACCGACAAGACCCCCGCCCTCCTACGTTCGGTTGACGAATACGCCGTCGGTTTTGCCTACCTGACCTTTGACGCACACATATTCAAGCCCGCCCGCGGCAAGTGGATGGAGGGTGTTGTCCAGCTGCAGTCCGAAGGCCACATTGGCGTGCAATGCTGGGGGAGGTTCAACGCCAGTATCGAGGCCAAGAGGCTGCCGAAGGGGTGGAAGTGGGTAGATCTCAAGGGCGACCACAAGTCCTACAACCAACAAGAGGAGGAGCAGCAGGAGGAGGAGGAACAACAAGAGGAAGAGGACCAGCTGGATGGCGAAGAGCTGCAGGTTGTCGAACAAGTGCACACGACCGGCTACTGGGTCGACGCCTCGGGCAAGAAGGTCTCGGGCAAGGTGCGCTTCAGAATCAAGAACTTTGACGTCGGTCTCGCCGGCGATTACGGCTACCTCTCGCTCGAAGGCACATTCCTCAACGACCAAGACGAGCGCGCCCTGCAAAAGGAGGAGCGCGAGCTGGAGCGCAAGCGCCGCTCGAGGCAGAACCCCGGCGGTCTCCTCAGGCCAATGAGCAGGAGGGTGCCCGAGTTCAGCATGACCAAGTTCGGCAAGGAGGAGGAGGAAGAGGATGCGGGCCAGAGGACCGTGTTTGCAAAGGTGACGGGCAAGGAGGGAGATGTTACGCCGGATGATTAGGTGTGGTCAGGCCTTACGTGCTCGGGGTCGTCGCCGGTTAAGCAACCAAGGGGAAGCAGTCAAAGAAGTAGCCCGATGACGCCGAGGAGTCCGGGGTTTCGGTAGTGCCTGAGACCTTTTATCGTGGAGGCTGAGGTTGGTGCCGAGACCGAGGCCCTGTGGAAGTGGACCAGGTTATGCCAACCAGTGGATGTGGATGTGGGCATATAATTTCATGTGTTTCTCTCTCTTGGGTCGGAGTTACGGGCTTGTATGTGTTTTGTCATTTGCGTTTTCCTTTCTTTTTCTGTACGAGATACATACTACGTTTGATAGCAAAACCCCTTCAACTGCAATGGTGGCACATAGACACCATCTTTGATCATGTTGGTTGGGGAAAGGGGGCCATGGGAAACAGGGGGCTGAAAGGATTAGACTGATACCATTTGTCTGGGCTGTCGTCTTTTGTGAAACCGTCTAGGAAGTCATGTGGGAATACACGGCACAGTCACTGAAGTTCACGAGGCGACGTCGTTGGTGGATGGGTTGAGAACGATCTCGTACCGGCACTTTTCTCCATACTGTGGTACCAGGGCAGTTTCGACTTCCCGGTTTCTGCCCTGCCCCGGCTGTGGACTCTGAGCTCGTCCATGTCCAAAAATTCTCCATGTCAGTTGGGCAAAGTGGCCTCTTTTACTTTCCCCTCTATTTATACCTCCAGTGGTCATTCCATAGAAGCCCGAATGGTCGTCATGGTCAGTCTTGTTCACTCTTGTCCACGGGCACATTGCTCTTGTTAGTGCATGACGCTAACCGTACCCATGAACAGGGGGGTCCCTAACAAAGAGTGTGCCCATAGCCCTAGCGGCAACATTTGTTAGTGACGTCGTAAAATTAGACTTTAGCCTGGGCCTCCACAGTCGTTTCAGCCGTTCGTCCCGTTTTCATGGAGTGACGTACATAATGAGGGGTTCCGTCCCAAACTTTATTTTCCCCTGACCTGACCAGCATTCGTTGCGTCGTTGTCGCTGTCGTCTTGGTCGACAATAATACTTACTTACCACCACTCAACGCCGTCGTCTCAACCCGAATCTGACTCGGTCCAAACTTTCCATCCACAGCCATGCTTCCAGTTCCTCTCATCCAGCTCCAATGCGGGGTCAACTCGTACGAATGGGGAAAGAAGGGAAACTCGTCGCGCGCCGCCCAGTTTGCTGCCGCCTCGCTTGATGACAACGAGTTCAAGATTGATGAGGAGAAGCCATATGCCGAGGTAGAAACACACCCGTTTTGTTCTCCCTCGTGTCCTCATGCGTCAACCGCTAACCTTCACCACCCACAGCTATGGATGGGCACGCATCCCTCCAATCCGTCCAAGGACAAACACACTGGCCGCACCCTGCTCGAGCTCATCCAAGACAATCAAGCTCTCCTCTCCCCCGCCATCGCCGAGCGCTACCAAAACAAGCTGCCCTTCCTCTTCAAGGTCCTGTCCATCCAGAAAGCCCTATCGATCCAGGCCCACCCCAACAAGAAGCTCGCCGAGAAGCTGCACGCCCGCGACCCCAAGAACTACCCCGATGACAACCACAAGCCCGAGATGGCCATTGCCATCAGCGACTTCGAGGGCCTCTGCGGCTTTCGTCCGTTGAAGGAGATTGCCCACTTCCTCGACAACGTGCCTGCTCTGCGACAGCTGGTGGGTGAGGACAAGGCGAAGGCATTTGCCGAGACTGTCAAGAGGAATGACGGAAACGAATCGGAGGAGGCCATGGCGGAGAACAAGAAGGTGCTACAAAGTGCTTTTGGTGCACTCATGGCTTCATCTGAGGCGGACATGACTGCTGCTGCCGAGAAGCTTGTTCAGTCGGCCAAGAGCGCCGGCGCTGATTTCGCCGGTACCACTGTGCCCTCGCCAGGCGGTGCCAAGCTCTCTGAACTAGTCGGTCGCCTATACGGACAATTTGGTGCCGACTACGGCCTCTTTGTCCTTTTCTTCCTCAACTTTGTCGAGATGAAGGCGGGTGAAGCGATCTATCTCAGGGCAGACGATATCCATGCCTACATCAGCGGCGACATCATCGAATGCATGGCCAGCAGCGACAATGTTGTGCGCGCAGGCTTCACCCCCAAGTTCAAGGACGTCGACAATTTGGTCAACATGCTTACATATGACTTTGCGCCTATCGAACAGCAGAAGATGGAGCCCACCGACTACACCCAGGATGTCAAGAACAAGCGCGAAGCTGGCGCGACACTGAACCAGGCTGCCATCGACACCCAATCAGAGATTGTAGAGTACAACCCACCAATCGAGGAGTTCAGTGTCATCCGCTCGTTGCTCAAGAGCCAGGGATCCAAGGTCACCTTCAAGCCCATTGACGGCCCAAGCATCATCATCTGCACCGAGGGTCAAGGCAAGATTTCAGTTGGCCCCAAGGTACAGGAGATCAAGAAGGGCCACGTTTTCTTTGTCGGCGCTACGGCCGAGTGTGTGCTCGAAAGCGAGGATGACCAGTTTGAGACTTTCAAGGCCTTTTGCGTGCTGGACGAGCAAAGTAATGGGAATTGACTACCCAAGCTATGACGGGGGAATCACAGTCGGAAAAAAGAGGTGGGAGTAGGGCGTATGCACCCCAATATCGTACAATTTCTCTTCTCGTTGCTCAGTCAGCTATCAGTAATGATTTCGAAAGCTTCACCGCCAGGCGCGGGTTCCAAGTTCAGCTTTTTTCCCTCTGGAGATCTCCCAATCTTCTCTGCCACATTCCAGTGTATCCTCCACGCCTCGCCCAGAAGGTTCCAATCCCCACAGACTCCCATCAAGATCTGGAGCTATCCCGCATTCCAACCCTTTCTTGACGTCTCGTGTCATGTGCGTGCCTTGGTCCTCCCTGGAGTTTCTTTCCTTTCTTGTCTGCTACGCTCCAACTTACCCGCATTTCCCAGCGCGCAACTCCTGCACCTGCAATCTCCCACATCGCATCATCCTGCTTGCTAATTTAGCTTCCCCAAGCGCACCTTCAATTCGCCGATCCCGATGAGCAGTCCCAGCCAGCGCTGCAGATGAGGTCTTTTCTTCTTTGCCTCTTACTCACTTACGAGAACATGGAACCCTCTGCCAACCTGACCCCGACGACAACCCGGAAGGTACCCGACATGAACGACCTGCAAGTCACTTTTGAGGAATAGCACTAGGCTACCTGATGGGAAGGCATACACGAATATGAGAAGCAAGGAAGCCAGGCATATGGGGAAAGCCGGTACACGGAAAGCCTGGCGAAGCATGCGAGAAGCAACGCTACCCAGATTTGTGGTGCCCCCCCTTTTCTTGAGGGTTGAGTCGCTAGGTGGGGGACAGACGACGGGGACGATGAAGGTGGTATAAAGGCAAGGAGGGGGAGGGCATTACCGTATATGCAGAAGAAACTCGCGTATCGTCAACATGTCTCCTCTTTAAGCGCCCGGCAGCGCAGAACGGGCGCTCCCTAAGCCAGCATATGCAAGCAGACCTATACGAGGTATGTGTTTGTTTAGTCAGTCTAAACTTGAGAACATTACCCACCATCCACTCCAACTAGGGTGCGGTTCAATGTACAGGTTCGCGCTTATCCTGCCCAGATTTGTGCTGTCCCCTTGTTCTATCTGGCCTGGCGCCAAAAGAGGAGATGGACTGGCGAGCCTCGGCAAATTTCTCGCGGTAGGCTGTGTTGGTTGGAGAAGGGACTTCGATGATCCCCAGGGGCAGCTTTTGAATTGCATGACTGACAGGCAGCAGGAAATCTTGTCGTCAGGAACCAGAACTAGGGTGGTCTATGCGATGTTCGCATGCCGCCGCCGAGGAGACTGGAAAGAGCAACAAGATACCTACCTACCTATACGAAGTCGTGAGGATGATGCAGTTTGGATATGATACCTCAAGACCAAAAGCATGTCATCTGTCGGTCCTGCTTGTTTCACCATGAGCCATGTCATGAGTCATTTTCGGTCCCTTTGCGATATGTCTTTGAGTGTTTGGATGCGTCGGGGTCCGATAAACCAGAGCATCGGGATGTGATTTGGATTCAGCTTGCATCTCTCTTGGTCTTCAACACTGGCAACGAAACCCGGTTTACCTTGCAACTGATCCTACATACCCCTACCCCAGACATTGGATCATGCCGAGGAGATCAAGCTTCGTTGCCGAGTTGTGATCCCCTCTTTGGGCATAATTGACTTGCATCAATATTTGCACGTACATTCTCACTTGGGTCACCGCAACAAGATACGCACTCAGTGTGTTGGATGGGTAAGGCATGTCTGACGAAAAGGGGCGCATGCAATTGTCAACAAGTCACCAAGCAAGGCAAGTCAACGTCCCCCTGAATTGCCTCAGGTTGATTTGCCCACATCCTACATTGACTCGACTTGGCTTGACATTGCTTGAATGTGCCTACATTCTACCTAGTTGGCTTGACTTGCCTTGCCAGATCTCTAACTAGGTAGGTAGGTTGAGATTGGCTTGTGCTTGAGATGATTTGCCTTGTGATCCACGTTCGCTGGACGGACTACATTGGGCGAGACGTTGACAAGAATTGTCTATAAAATACCGTCTCCCCTTCGCGGAACAGAAACATTTTTTCATCACAGCACCCAACACTCCAAAGTCAACAGACCAAGCAAACTACTACTACTACCTACTCACTTCGCAACTCAATCCACCCTCAGTCTTGTCAAGATGGTTCAAATGACCGCAGTCCTGTTCCTCGCGGCGGCGAGGTGAGTCCACCTTTTACACCCTCTCATCACTCTGTGCTCGCTGACACCAACCTAGCTCCGTCCTTGGAGGTGCGATTCCCGGGGACTACTGGCCCAAGAACAAGGTCACCAAGACCGTCACCGTCACCGCCACCGAAACCGACACCATCACCAACACTGTCACCGCCACCGACACCATCACCAACACTGTCACCGCCACCGACACCATCACCAACACTGTCACCGCCACCGTAACCGACACTGTCACCGAGACCGATACGGTTACGGTCACTGTCACCAAGAAGCATGGAAAAGGTCATCACAAGTACCCGTACTACTATGTGACCGCCTCTCCGACACCCAGTGAGACTCCCAGTCCCTCTGAGACTCCCAGTGTCTCTGAGACTCCCAGTGTCTCTGAGACTCCCAGTGCCTCTGAGACTCCCAGCGCCTCTGAGACTCCCAGTGCCTCTCCGACACACTATGCCTGGAACAGGCTGTAAAGCCCCGACACCTCATGCACGAAACATTGCGCTATGTTTCGTGAAAGTTTATGGTCACCTTGAGGGCCATGAGATGTCTGCTTGCATTACTTTGGAGGATAAAAGAGAAGCAGAAGATGGTACTACACTAGGTATCAACGAAGGTGAAAGTCTTGCGGCTTTTGACTTGGCGGAAGGGATACATCAATGTATTTCGAACATTTGGGAGACCCCAGTGTTCAAAGGCGCCGGTGTATACTTGGCATTCCGGCTGGACCATGTCCGGTCCGAAGTGCCAGACACAGCATCGGGTCTTAGATACCTAGGTAGTTTAGTCATCTAAAGAGAAAAGGTCCATCAATCTTCTACACACAACTACATGTGCTTGCCCAGTGAAACTGTTATTAGTTTGGGATTTACCTTGGGTTGTAATCGGTTGGACTGGACGCTGCTGAGCTCCACACAAATTCCAATGTCGAGCCGGGCTCTATCAAGGTCAGCTCAGGAATGGATGTTTGTCTTCATGACATCGCCGAGGTGCGGGAACCACCCATTGCTCACATGTACAGAACCGGAGGTCTCTCATCACCCACACCAGTCCTACCTACCCCAGATATTGGTTCATTGACTCGGAGCTGCTATTTATAACTTCCCGTCCATGGAAACCTGGATCCGAGATCCCAAACCGTGGTAGCATCGAAGTTCACTCGCGGAACGTTGACAGCTAGTGCAGTCAAAAGTGCAACACCAATCTACTCGGTAATAACGAGACAATTTGGAGGCGATGGCTGATTGGCTTGCCTTACACTCAGCTCCCATCACCACCGCACAACACCAAGGATCGCAATTCCAAAGCACAGGATCCGTACAAGAGGGGATTGTCGAGATCTCTTGGCTTTCTTGATCCTCGGTTCGTGATGGCAGCCTCCAATATCAACTGACAATTTAGGGACTTTACGAAGGGATCTATCCGGGTGCTATTTCCAGCTGACGGTGCTGGACAGGCCGCATCGAATGAGGAATTGGTCAGTGATGAAGATAAAAGCTCGCCTCCTCTTCACAGGAAATAAACATGACAGCCTGGTGCCTACATTTTCAAGGTGAATCGACTGAAAATCCCATCTCCTATCTCAATCTATCCAGCTCCAGCCTTTGTTGTCAAAATGGTCCAAAAGATTGCGGTTTTATTCCTTGCAGCAGCGAGGTGAGTTCACCCGTGTCCTTTACCCTCTCTATAACCAGACTCTTACTGACACTAACTGACCCAGCTCCGTCCTCGGCCAAATCACCCTCCAACCGTCCACCATCACCACCACCCGGCGCACCACCGCCAACCCAGGAGGCCCGCCGACCGTGACCCGCACCGTCACCAAGACGGAATACGACACCATCACCGAGACCCAGATCAGCACAAGTATCAGCACCACGACCGAGTCCTACATCCAGCAAGTCACCACCACGGAAATCTCCACTTATACCTCTACAGTATCTGTCCCCGTCACCCAAACCGCCGTCGTCACCTCCATCTCCACCACCACCACCACCAAGACCGACATCTGCTCTTCCTCGCCTGCCGCACAATGCCCTACCGTCACGGCCACGGCAACGGCTTGCAAGAGTTGCTTCGTCCCGCAGTGCACGACTACGAGTACCATCACCAAGCCATGTGGGTGCCAGGTACTGCCGACGGCGAGTGTGAGTTTCCCGTGTGGAGGGGCGGATGTGTGTAATAAGATTGGGTGTACGACTGTTTATGCGGTTAGGACTGCTGCTTGTTAGGGAGTGAAATGGAATTGGGAATTGGGGAAGGGTGAGGAAACGGAAAGTTTGGAGGAAGATGTGCTCGACGTCCATCGCAGGAACAGAATGGAATAAAGTGGAAGATGTGCGCATTGGCATGAGAGGAACTGAAAAAGGAAAGAGGGGAGTTCAGGGTGGGTCAGAGAATTCACCATTCGGATGTGTCAGGCCGAGGTTTTCCATTGAGGAAGGGACGAGCCGGTGTCACTGCTGCCAGGAGATCGGATCAATCAGTGTTCAACTTGAAGAAGCGATTATCGTATTACTAAAGCTTCAATCTGACTGTAACCTGCTCATGCCAAAGGAGTGCCTCCAGTTCCATATGCCCTGAACCCGCCTAATTACGTCATCCCAAATGCCGATGCAAAGCACCAAACACCAAAGCAAGCCATGACTCCGGTTCTTTCTTCTTAGTAGAGGTATCCTTTCCCATCCAAAATCCAGCCCAAAAAGCAAGTTCTTGTCGTCGTACCCAATCTCCCCTTCAATCACTCGCCAACACCAAACAAAGCCAAAGCCATGGCCTCACACAGCATCGTCTGGTTCGGCTGCCTCTTGACACTCATCAACCTCGTCAACCCCCCATCACTGTCCGCCTCTTGACCCTGCACACCCGTATTGACACTGACACTCCTCTGTCGTCCACCCATTGCTCCTCCATCAGCAACACCAAACTCTGACGGCACTGGCAAACTGCTAATGCTTCCCCCCCTCTTGCTAGCATTGCTCCTCCTCAAACTCCCCGGCGGCGATCCAGAAGAAACTCCCGGCCCCATTCCCTGCTGCGCCATCAAGGGATGACCCATCGGCATCGGCGGCCTCGGCTTGTCGTCCACGAAACCACCATTCCTCATCTTTGGCGACGACGACTTGCTCCTCAGCGTGGGCACGGTAAACCGCGGCGCTTCAAACCGGCCATTGCTCCCTCCCGACGCGGAACCAGGGAGTCTGGGCCTGCGTTCGACACTCGGCTCCTTGCTGATGATGCCCCACAGCTGCTGCAACCACCTCTGCTCCGCCTTCTTGCACGTCTCGGGGGGCTCCGGCTTTGCAGAGCGGCACGGCAAGACTTCGGCACCGGCCATTTCGCGCGTCGGCCAGGGGAACGAGACGGCCATTTCTCGGAGAGTCAAGCTGTGCATCTGCCGGAGCACAATGCGGATTTGCGCTTCGACATTGATCTCGGGCTTGAAGTACCAGTCTTCTCGCTGTTCGAGACGGTCGGCGATCTGCGTCATGGCGCCCACGAGCCAGTCGATTGCCACGTTGTCCGGCACCGACGAGGCTTGTTTGAGCAGCCAGTCGAGAGTCTCCGGGGTGCCGGATTGGTTGAGAATGGGGATGCTGCGCTTGTCGTGCTCGCGGTCTTGCAGCTTGAGGATAAAGTCGTTGTAGTGCTTCATTGACGAAAGAGGAAGACCGGCAAACTCTCCGCGGTTGAGAGCATGCACAAGCTCGTCACCGAAAGCGATGCCGGCTTTGATACCCGAGTTGAGACCGCGGCCTGGCCAAAAGTGCACCGTCATGGCGGCGTCGCCGGCCACGGCTACGAGGGCGTGCGGACGCCGGACGAAGCGAGAGTCTTCGAGGGGGAGCTGTTGCACGCCTTCGCGTACGGCTTGTACGACGATGGGGATGCGCACGACGTTGATGACTTCTGATTCCTTGAAGCCAAAGAGCTTGAGCCCGTCTTCGATGGACTTCCAGAGCGAGGAGTCGCGGTGTTCGGAAGGCTTGAAGACGCGGTTCTCGCTGAATCCCTCGGGGATGGATCCATCTTCGCGGCGGAGACAGCCTGGAGAGCCAAAATGAACCGGCTCACCGTCTACACCCACCATCTTGTGCCATTCGTCTTCGGTCAGCTGCATGTTCAGGTACCCCTTGCCGTCATGGTCCGAGGCGTTGAGGAGGTACCGGGTCTGGCCGAGAGTGAGGAACATGTTGAGCGGTTGGGACCAGGGTAGTCCACCGGCGGAACCGCGGTCAAAGGCCAGACCCAAGGCATAAGACCGACCGCGCTCGTTCTCGTAGCCGCGGAAGTAGTCACGCCTAACCCAGGAGGCGGCGCCGTCAGTGCCCAAGAGAACGTGAAAATCGCCGCACTTGCCGTTCTTGAGCTCTTCCCTTGTGACGCCCTCCGCATGGAGGTGAATCAGTCCACGCAGGTCGTCGTCCTGGCATCTCTTGAGGAACCGGTCTTCCACCTTGCGAATCTGGATATTCGCCGAACCCGGCCAGACCCTCTCCGGCCGTCCAGCAAACAGTGCCTGGAAGGACTTGGGAGTCAACAGATCCGTGACCGAATCCTGCAGCGTCACGACCTGATCTCTCCTCCTCGCATTCGGGGGGTATCCTACCTCCCCAGTCCTCTCATCTCTGACCCACCTCCTCTCCCACACATGCACCTCGATGCTTCCCCCTCCCTTCTCCGCCAGGGAGATAGCGCTGGCCAGTCCCGTCGGCCCTCCACCGACAATACAAACCTTCAACCTGCCCACGGGATACTTGTACATCACCAACTCCTCACAAGGCAGCGGTTCCAAGTTCCTATGCAACGTCGGATCAAAGAAGAAATCCACCACCTGCCTCGCCTTCTCACACATGTCCACCTCGGCCGGGATATTCGCCTTGATGAGGATAAACCGCATAGCCTGCACCAACGGCGTCACCCCAAAATCGGCATGTCGGTTTCCAAACACGCGGTGCATCACCGCCCACACCACGTGCGCCACGCTTCGGCACAGCTCGCGGTTGGTGATTATGTCCCGCAGCTCCGCGTTCACCCACGGGTTGTTGGAACTCATCGAAATAAAACGCGTGATGAAGATGCGCGCCCGGTCGAGGTCGGTGCGGCCGTCGGCTACTGCCGATTCCCCGTAGCGGGAGCCGGCCCATGCGTCTTCGTAGGATACGGGAAAGGCGATTTCGTCGTGGCTCGGTACCACGGGAGTGGCGTGTGGCCTTGTGCGCTTGCCGAAGCTGGCGGCTCGGGAGCGGGTGGTGGGCTGTGGCGGGGAAAGGGTCTTGATGAGGGTCGGTTTGGAGGGTTTGCTCCTGAGTCCGCGGCCCCGGGAGCTAGAGGTGGGCTGGGATGGGGGAAGGGGGAAGGAGAAGTTGGGGTGGGAGCAGTCTTGTGAGGTGGAGGAGCGGCAGGACATGGAGGAGTGGTCGTAGAGGTGACGACGGGAGGACATGGAGGACACGGAGGAACTGTCATTGCAGTAGAACTGCTCGGAGAGCGAGGGGGATGAGACCCGGGATGGCATGTTGGCTGTGATGGGTCTGGTGATAGTCTCTGAGAAGAGAAGAGATGATAGGGGGTGGCGATGATGGTGTTGTACTTGTAGCTCTGTCGATGATGGTAGTTGCGGATGGGTAAGCGAGGATGTATCGGATTTCATGTTGAGTAATCTAGTAATGTAGGTGC